AGGCTATTTTAATAATATATTTATAAGATTTAATATTTTTATATAATATTTAATTATAAAATTATATAAAATAAAAAATAAAAATTGTTTTATTTATTATTTTAATAATTTAAGTCATTTTATAAAGTTTTAAAAGTTTTAATAATTATTTAAAACTTTAATAATATATATAATTTTTTTAATATAATATCTTTAATATTTAAAGAATTTTATATTAATTATTATTTTTTAATTTTATATATTATAATTTAATTCTAAGTTTTGTAACCTTTATAATTTAAAAATAATTAAATTCTTTTTTTTAATATTTTATTAAAAAAAGTTTTATTATTATTTTTTTAAAAATATTTATTTTAATTTATAATTTATAAATAAAATTATAATATTAAAAATTTCTTTTTTTTAAAAAAATATTAATAAAATTATAAAATATATTCAATTTAATTTTTTATTAAGTTTTTTTATAAAATAATATTATTTAAAATTATATTATTTTAAAAATTTATAAATAAATTAATAATAAAATTTATTAAATTTAATAAAAATTTATATTTTTTTATATATTATAAATTTATTTTATTATATAATTATTTTAATTTTTTAAAATTTATTAATATTTTAATAATATTAATTAAAAAACTTAAAAAATTAATTTTAAAAAAACTTAACTTTTTATAATTTATTAAATCTTTTTCAAATTTCTTAACAAATTAAAATAATATTAAAATATATAATATATATTATATTTAAAAATAATCTAAGAATATTATAAATATATTCTTAAAATATAATAAAAATATTAATAAATTTAAAAAATATTTTTTTATTTATTATTATTTTTAATATAAATATAATAATATATATCTTTAATATTAATCTTAAAAAAATAGTAAAAGTTTTTTATATAATTTATAATTTTTATAATTAAAAATAAAAAACATTAATTTTTTATAATAATTTTATTTAAGCTTTTTTAATTTATATAAAAATATAAATATTTATTTTTTTAATAAAACAAATATTTAAAGTATTAATAAGAATTTTTAAAAAGTAAATAATATTATTAAGAATTCTTTTTTATAAATATTTTTTTAATTTATAAAGTTTTTTTAATAATAAAAAATAAATTTATTTAAATAAAAAAGCTTTATTTTTAATAAAATTACTAGTATAATCTAAATCTTAATATTATAATAAAATAATTTTTTTATTAAATATAAGTATATTTAAAAAAATAAATAATTTTATAAGAATCTTTTTTTTAAAATAAAATAAAATATTTAGTTCTTAAAAAAAGAATTTTTTTTAAAAAAAAAACCCTTTTTTATAAAATAAATAATATAAATTTATATTTTTTATTAATAATTAATATAAATCTATTTATTTTTTAATATAAATATAATATATAATATTAAATATATTTTATTAATTGTATTAAATAATCTAATTTTAATATAAAAATAAATAAAAATATAAATAATTTTATATTTATTAATAATAATAAGAAATATTATTTGAATTTTTAAAGTTCTAAAGATTAATATTATATATTATATAAATATAGTAAAATTAAAAATAAAACTTAAATTCTTTTTCATAATCTAAATTAATAATATTATATATAATATTAATATTTAGTTTAATTTATATTTTTTAATTATATTTTTTATAAATTATAACTATTATTTAAATATCTTAAATCATTTTTTATTTTTTTTAATTTTAATTATTTGTTTTCAAATTAATTAAGTTTTTTTATTAATTTAATATTTTATTTTTCACTAAATAAATATTTAAGAGATATTTAATACTTTAATATTTAGAATCTTATAATAATTTATTATTTATTATTAAATTATATAAATAAATAAAATTAATTATAATTAATATATAAGAATTTTTTAATTTAAATATATTTTATTATTATATTATATTTTAATTAAGCTTTTATTATTTTATAAGTATTATTTAAGTATTATTCATAAATATTATAAGTTTGTTTTATTTATATAATAAAAGAATATTTTATATTTATTTAATAATAATAATAATAATAATATTTTCTTATACAAAAAATACTTAAATATTGAATATAAAAAAATAATCTTAAATTTTAAATTATAATTTAATAAAATAAAAATAAAAATAATTTATTATAAGTTCTTATTTAAAATATTATTTTAATAAATTAAAATAAATATAAAAATCTTAAAAAGATTATATATTTTTTAAATATATTTTTTTAAATTATAATATAAATAAAGATTTATAATATATTATATTTTTAATTAAATTTAAAGTTTATTTTTTAAATATAAATTAATTTTTTTAAAGAATTTCTTAATTTTTCTTTTTATATTATTTTTTATATATTATTTTTTATTAAATATAATAAATTTAATATATTTTATTAAAAACCTTAAGAATCTCATTTTTATTAATATTATACTAAATTTTAATATTATAAAATATATCTTATAAATTTAATAATTAATTATTATAAACCTTAAATAAAGAATTAAGGGTAAATTAAGTAAAATTTATAATCTATATTTCTTTATTTAATACTTCCTTAGGTTTTATAATAATAATATAGTTTTTCTATAGCTTATTTATAATATAAGCTTATTATAAGCGATTTTATTCTTATAAAAGTTTTTTAATAGATCTTTAAAGCTTATTCTTTTATATTATATTTATAAATCTTAAATTATTTTAATTAATTAAATAAAAAAAATATAGGATAAAAGACTTAAAAAAGCTTTATCCTTTAAAAAGTCTTTTTTAAAAGATATTATATTTTTATTCTATCTTTTATAAGACTCTTAAAGGCTTTAAAAAATATATAATTATAAGCGAGCTTATCCTCCGATTTATTATAGCTTTTAATTATTCTTTTTTTAAATAATTTAAGAGAAATTCAAGAAATTATAATAAAGCTAAATAAATTAAAGAAAAAAATAATATATTTATAAAACTTAAACTTATTTTTTTTATATAAAAAAAAGAAATTTATTTTAATTATTTCCTCTAAAAGAATTAGCTTATTTAGAAACTAAAATAACCTTATTAAGTTACTTATATATTACTTATTTTAATAAAATAACGCGCTAGGGTTTCCGCGGCTTAATATTATATTTATTAAGTAAATACTCCCCGAGTAGCTTAGGAGTCTTTATAGCCCATTCTCCGTGTCAACCTTGAGCTTGTTCCCTTTCTCAGGCCCTTAAAAATGAAACGATGTCTCCTGAAATGCGTCCAGAGATCTTCGCATACGCCAAATTCAATCTCGTTGGGCTCCTTTCCCTAGCTGCGAGGCTTCGAGGTCGAAAATGTACCGCTGATCAATCTTCGAGACCCGTTTTTAAAAATTCTATTTGAAATATAAAATCTAGAAAGAGCTAAATATATATACCTTACTTATCAAAGAATCGCTCGCCGTAATAAGCAAATAATATATAGGTACTACCTAGTTAATCTTTACGCGTTTTGTAAAAAGAATCTTATATTAATAGATTTATTATATTTTAATAAATAGCGATGTATTTATATAACTAGGACATATGAGCAAGGTCTCGCTAACCTAGGTACATAATAATCGCGGCGGTATAAGTATTTTTAGCCTATATATTAGATATATGAGTTAAGGGCTACATACTTCACTATGAAGCAAATAAAGAGAAGTTAATAAATATATAGTTATATATATTAAGTGACATATACTTAAGCTGTAACGCATAAAATACCGCGAGTGTCTGCTTAGCTTAAGTAAATTCTATAGAATTTTAGTATTGTCGGCGACGGCTTGCGCGCCTCGGGAAATGGCGGTCCCTCTTGCCGTTTCGGGTACCTGCCACATCGGGAACATGCCACCCACCTCTCGCCGCTTTTTCGTCGGCATGCTCCACCGTATCCCACTCCTTTGTACCTCGCCCATTTCCCTGCGACCATTCGACGTCACGTGTCCCACTACGGCACTCACTTTCTCCCTCATCACTATCTTTGGCGGCATTCGGGAGTCGTCTGGCCTGGGGAGTCACCTATCAGCATGATCCCGCCGCCTCGTTAACAGCATGGTTGTTTGTGGATCATGCGGACCGTCTGTCCTCAACTGCGGTTCACATGCAGCTATGCCTCACCACCCCAGCATGTTCCATCCTGTCCATCTTGGTCCTATTCATGATCCGAGTTAAGAATGTTGCTTCATCAAGCAATGGTATGATCTGCATGGTCTCCTGCCATGTTTTCTGGACTAGGCAGATTTTGGAAAGCGACCAGAGGGGAGGGACGGCCAGCCCCTATCCGAGGACCATGATACTCCATCGAGTTCGAGGCCGCGTCAGGACCTTGCTTGCCACCCTGCGTGTGGCGTCCGTCCTCGGCTGAATCGAGAGACAGCACTCAATGGATTGATGGGAAGTTGGCAGCCAATGCAAGATGACCTCGGAACGACAATATCATCTGCTCGACCCCTGCCGCATGGCTTCCCCGTTCACATCGCGGAAAGTCGTATGCATCACAAGTGGATTTGAAGCCGCCCCATATGTTGGTCTTTCCAAGGGCGAAGCACCAAGGACCCAACTATGTTGGCGATGCGTTACGAATCTTACCTCTTGTGCCAGATCGTTACCCTTACCACTGGCAGATTTGGCCTGCGCCTCGAGCAGGACGATCCCTCTGCGTTCGGGCAAAGCGTCCACAGCCTAGGATGCTCCTCACGTCCGGCAACCGCGAAGCAAAACGGCATTAACCACAAGTCTCAGGGGTATAAGGCCAGGGAGCATCATGCTACATCTGCCCGGTTTGACATCAGGGCAACAACGCCAAAGACCGCTTCTGGGCAGTAGGTTACGGCCAAGTCACCTCGACCATGTCGCGAAGTGGTGGCACGGCCGGCCGATTCACCCGCCATCCACCAGCCCCAGCGTGCGCCTCCTTTGGTAGTTTAGTCTACCTCGCAATCACCCGGCGTGTCCCACCGCTGGCACCCGACTTTCGAGATGCAGTCGGTGACATACCCCATTGGGGCACAAGGCCTATACGACAGCTTCAGCCCGACTCAGCGTTATCTCTCCCACGGCCGATGGCACAAGGCTTCACTATTCGTGCCTTGGTGCGCGCTTATGACCCCTCCAATCGGCCGAGCTGTCGGCTCTTTCACAGGCATATCACCACAGAACCAGGGATGCTCCGCAAGGAGCTGTGACCACTGTGCGTTGGCGTATTGCGCAGCTCTTGTCCTGAAGAGCTTGGTCTACGGCTGGAGCAGGAGTGTGGATTCATTCACGCGGTTGCAGACCATTGAGGACTCCGAGGCGTGGACAAGTGTGGTCCTCTGCTCCGTGTGGACTTACGCATGGCCTGCCACACCGAGGACGGGTGGCCCATATGCTGACTGGCTCAGGAGGGGTGAGACCAGAGGATCCATTGCGAAACTTACCATATCGGGCAAATTGGCATCTCGGCATCTCTGGCGAAGGTACGGCGCAGCATGCGACGACGACACTTTCATTCCTCTCTGGGGCATGCGTTTGCGGTCGGCCTCCTTGTCCCGGTTCGTCTCCTTCAACCGGGACTTCTCTCCTGCCCAGGCTGCCCTCGGCTGAGGCGGATGGAGCAGGTGATGCCGCCTCATTCAAACAACGACTTGCCTCATGTGGTACTGTAGTATCGGCGTGGGACTTTGTTGTCGCTGGACATGCCACACCAGCAGGTACTATGCCCCCTTTTGCCTCATGGGGCAATTGACTCGATCATCGCTCATCCGCTGGCCCTGATGACAACATTGCCAAACGGGGAAGTCATATCTCCATGCGAGATGACACACTTGGGGCCGCTTAGAGTTGCTAGGACCGAGTGGCCTTCCAGAAGGGGCAATCCAGACTGCACGCCATCCCGGTCTCTCATCTCTCGTTCACGTCGGAAGGAAGGTTGTGGACGCGGCGTAGGTCGGGTAGTTGCACGGCTGATGCCTTAAGCCTACGCCCCGAACCAGGACTGGGCAGGGAACCCCTGCGTCGTCATCCCGCCTCGCTGAAGTCTGCGTCTCCAGGCTGAGAGTTACACGAATACGCGTTAATGCATGGCGTAATGTCCGTACACTAAGGCGTCCCACCAATGCCCGTACAGGCTGCCAGCACAGGCTCCTCTCGTTGGTTTCATCGCTTCCAAAAGACTCCCAGCGGAATCACCGAGTCATCAACGTGGGATCGGGATGGCCAGGCATGGCGGATCAGGGATTGTCTGCCTGTGGTGAGGGGCGAGAAGGTCCTGCCACCGACTTGTTCCCCCCTATCAGCGGACGTGAGACGCCACTCCGAGCCACGAACAGCACTGATATCTCTGCGTATAACGCTCTGCCCTGCCACTTCTGCCCGCCTCCATACTCAGCGTCCATCATCTATTCTCCATTCTCCAACATGGAATTCAAGTTCCGTGCTTAGGGCGCCCAGTCGATCCAGAAGCACTACAAGGAAAAAGAGTCAAGGTACTTGCTTGCAGAGAAATGTCCAAAAAGTTCAGGACTGTTCCAGGAACGCCTCAATTTTTCCCGTGGTACGTACCTCCCTGCCATCGCAGGACTGCAACGCTCAAGCTGTGAGTCGGGCTTACAATGTGGATGCAATCTCCCCGCCTGGTCAGTTCAACAAAGTCATTCTGTCAAGGAGATTTGTATTAACGATCAAAAACAGCCAACGAATCCTTCTCGATCGGCACAGCTCTGAACATGGCCAGCCCCCGTGACCTGTCAGTAACCACGAGGTCCATCGGCGTCGAAAGACACGACATTGTTCCTATCTCTGAGTCCTTCAATTGGGGCGTCGGCACTGCCAACGGATGTATGGCCGCGGATCCACGGCTTCATACCTTTTCCAACCAACCCGAAGCGGGCGACATGGATGGATGGTCTTTTGAGCACGCCCACAAAGCTTATTAATACCCTGGCGATGCCCATAACAGACCAGGACTAGCTTGCCTCCCGTCGACAGTCAGTGTTGGGGCAGCGAATGGATTGGCCAGGCCAACAGCGCCGGCACAGTATCCCGACAATGATAACATCGCTATAGTTAGGTATGCATCACCCCCAACGCACACTGCCGAGGTTGATCGACCGATCGTGCTATTGCTTGAACAAGAGCGGAATGGCTAAGCCTTTGGAGGTGGTAAGGTTATATAAATAGGGGTTTTCGATACTAAGACCTTGACACGTGCTCATGTATATACGTCTTGGACTTCCCTAGTGGTTAAGTGGGTTACGCATGAACGTATTACGGTCGTCCCTATAATATTAATTAGATTGACTTCCCTGTATCAAGATGAAAGCTAGCGGAGGATATCCTAAGCTTAGGTCCTTGCGGAAGGCGCCGCAGACCTTTACCCATTAGGGGCGACTGGGTGCCTGAAGTAGGCTCTAGCATAGAGAGGCATAGTACGGGACGATGGTATTGTATGAACTTAAAGGACTGACCTATAGAAAGGGAAGGTTGAAGGTCCTCGTCCCGCTGCAATTTCGGATGTCTACTCAGCGTCTCCGCCATGAGATAATGAACGATGGGATTGATTGATTTCACGTATCTACTTCATAGTGCCGCCACTCTCTATATTCGTTTAATTATGCGGAATGACCGGGAAGAGAGAGGACTTGTTAATACGTAGAGGTTTGCGAGACCTTATTACTGCTTGTCCTAAAAAAAAACGATTGCCACTAGCGAGAACGAAATTCTGAAAAGAATAGCTCTTTGCAGGACTTCGATAGCGTTTCAAAGGGTCGATTGAGAAGCCTACGGCTCTTTAAAAAATTGCTTTTTTTTATCTCGGAAAGGAAACCCTTATAAGTACCTTTTATATAGAGTTTCGCGGTAATCGGTACCTCGACTACCTAGCAATGATCTCCTTTCCGAGGCGGAAAGGGCGGAGAACTAGCAGGCCCGTATGTAGGGGTAGTGGGGCCTTGTTGTGCAAAAGGTAGATCAGGTGTAGTGATTGGGTAGGAGGGGTAGGGGTTACCTTCTCGCACGTAAAAGGGCGAGGGAATACTAAGTCCGTAGTCCGTACGTAGTCACCCTATAGGCGAAAGTATACTAAATATATATCCTTTTAGCTAGAAAATACATTAAAAATAAATAGTCCTATGTTCTAAATACGTTTTTACCTCTATAATAGCTAAACTATAAGGAAGGGGCTGGATTGATCTCTCGGTGTTTTAAGAGCGTCATAGACATCCTTCATTGGCCTTAGATTTACAAAGAGTATGACGCTATCAACTTCCGGTTGAAGTGTGAGCTTTATAAAAATACTCGGTCTTGAAGCCTCGAGATGGCCTATGATGTACTCTTTGCCTTGGACGGCACCTATTGGGGTTCGGCCGTATATTGTCGCCCCGAAGTGTTTGTCAAACTTAAAGTCGTTAAGGTAAACGGCAACGTGCGAGGGCCGGTCTTCTTTTTTAGATGCAAATCCATATAGGTAGGTAGTTGTCGAAGTCCATGCGACCCATGAGTTCGTCGGTTTTGTAATAACTCCTCGCCCCGCAGGGAGAACGCCGAACGGCTCTCGAGGTATATCAGGGTCTTGCGATGACATAGTCTAGTGAAGAAACTTTGAACGGGAATAGCCTAATTTACTTCCGCTCGTGAGACTATTATATAGTATAGTGAGGTTGAAACGACTGTCCGGTTTCTGTGACATAGTAGATAATAAGAACGCCTATTTTTGAACGCGGTGGAACCCTATAACGCGTTTAAGGAGTGCACTCACTAGGGCGGAAGACTATTACGTTTGTATTACTTATATGGCCGATTGGGCGTATTCTCGGACCACTATTATTCATCTCGAGCTGTCCGCTGTTTTCCGAGATAACGCTCCAAAGTCGCCTAGTCTGTAGTGCTCTAGTTATCTATAGTAGGGATAGATAAAGACCGAGTATACCGTCTCTAAGCGGCTGGGAAGAAGGAAGGGAGCTCGTTCTCGGTGGTGTTAGAAGTTCCAGGGCCCACTATGTGCTTGGATCGGGTTCTGGCCGTAGTGTAGAGAAAAGGCTCTAGTACGGATACTTGACGATACTATACAGTCCTGAGCATGTGCAGCTTCCTATCCATAACATTGTGTCGGTTTATGGAGCCTGGAATGGGAAACCTGGGTACTAAATTCTACTTCTAATGGCGGCGGAGAGAAGCTTTCCGAAGACCCTGAACCATTCCTCTTCTTCCGAGACGATGGCGCGTTGATGGCGCGATCTATCCTCAGACAGGTGACCTTGGCCAGTGTTTCTACAGTCGTGAGCAAATGCAGCTTCCTATTCACGCACTCTGTCTGTTTATGGAGCCTGGGTCGGATCTATATGTATATAAATCTACCTCGATGAGTCATAATAAGCCGCGCTCGCGCTGCCAGAATAGCCGGGTTTGGATGAGCGCTAGGTACTGCTGGGTCACTTAGAGTGGGCTGCAGCCCGTCAATGCGGCGCCATGTGTCACAGCGTCTTTCACACGGCTGAGTACTTTCAGTGACCAATAAGACGTAGGGCTCTATCGGGTACTTCGCCGTTTCAATGGAATGCACCGTAGGTTACCCACAAAATAAACATTGTATGGAGCCATCATGAACTTTCGTGTTATTCGATTGGATAGGAAGCTGCGAATGCTCAAGACTGTATTCGTTGTGCTACAGTGAGGTCCAAAACGAGTGTCCGCTTTCCTGTGGCACAATGAATTATAAGAACGGCTATTTCTGGACGCAGTGGAGACATACAGTGCGAGCAGGGACCGGACTCACGAGTGCAAGGTAGCCGTCACATTTGCAAAGGCTACCGCCCTGCGGTGCCTACTATGTGCACCCCACCATACAAGCTTCACTTACCCCTCTAAAATTCACGTGATTCTAGTACATAGTATAACTAACCATGGCTAAGCCTTGCACTCTCGTCAGGACTAATGGTGCCTCATTGGCAAAAGCTTCGGAACCAATGAATACTACAGTACGCGGTGGCCTAGACTATAACAGAAGCTACAAGCTAGTTACTAAGAGGATAGACAAAGTCAATCTCAGCAAATCCGTAATCAAATTTGGAGCTGGCTAACCCTAGTGGGAGCTATCACTGAAGTTAATTCGTGTCTCTTGGACCGTGGGAATGCTTGAGTTGCGCCGGTGCAATCCCCGGAGCCTACCGTGGCAAAGTCACTGACGCTTACGACCGAAGATGCCGCCAGCTGCATGGGGCCGCGCGCACAGTCTGAAGTGAGCACCACCGTCACCCAAACGTCAAGCGACCCCCCTCCTTCAAAAAGTAGCACCATAGAGGTCTTGATCAAGGCCCGTCCGCCGCAGGACACGACGCAGTATACATCTGTCCCTGACTACCCCACCCCATCGTCCGACGACTGCCACATTTTCGAGGAACCGGTGAAGGATGCTTTCGGCGGAAGGAAGCGAGCAACACGGCCTGCAGTGGTATGGAGGTCCTTCAAGACGTTGGAGATGAAGATGAAGATGAAGATGATGGGGATATCGCCGGCGGCATCCACCGGCCCAAGAGACAATGCGATGCGAAAGCCACCAGAACAACAACGCTGGTCGCCGAAGATTCGCCAGCCCTTCGGCAGACCTGAAGGGCGTGTCGGTTCGTGCTATAAACCAAGGCGCTGTAGGGCATGGCTCTTCAGTTGCCAGCGCCGGGGTTCGTAAGCTCCACGAGACACCCGCCGCCAGGCTACGCTCGAAGGTCTCATCCAGCGACAGCTGTGAACCACTTGCTCCCTCGTCCCTCGGAAGATAGATGGGGCAAGTGCTGGGTCGTGCATCGTCGCTGCAGCACAGAAGCAAACATTCACCAACTGCGACCTCGACCGCGCACACCTGCTGCGGCTGTCCCAGAACATCCCCTGATGGGCTGACCTGCCGGGCAATGAGTCTTTGGAGGCTTCACTCACAATGGCATATGTCTTTCCGCCCGGGAAAAGGAAACAATCGTGCTGCGCCTCGCTCTCGGAGAGCTTTGCGATTACATCATGGGGCCGCTCTTGGGAGACGACAAGGAGCTACCTGCTGAGGAGAGTCGCCGGCGTCGGTCCGCTCAAGTGCTGAGCGAGACCGGCCCCAGCTTCTTCTTAAGTGCGGGCGAGGCGGCACAAGGTTCTGACGCCGATGGTACTAGGAGTGTCACCGGCGATGCTACCGGCGATACCAAGGACGACAACCAAGAGTTTGACAAGGTTCAAGTTACGTTGGCTAGGCGCCGAGGAACGCAGGGCGTTGGTCCAAATTTGAAGAAGATCGTCTGCAAAGGTGTGTTGTGAAGGGAATGGTGTGGCCGCAGATTGCCATGAGGCGCTCAATCGGAACGAGTCTGGTGTGCAGCAACATTGTCGCATCATGGAGCAGAGAGGGAGGCTCTGGACACCGCTGGATGACCGTCGTTTGCAAGCATATGTGGCGGAGAACCTGGAGTGGTCGGAGATTACTAAGAAGCTCAAGCGACCCAAGGATTCTGTGATGCTACATTGGCACACGATGTCACGGAAGTAGAAGACGTTCTCTCGGGAGGTTACCGGCGAACTAGTCGCTTTGAGCCAACTTTTATCAAGACCATAGATATGTAATCCCACGTCGACAGTGATGTCGTTTCAAGTGATTGCCAAGTGACATGAGTACAGAATAGACCAGAGAAAAGGGACTAAGATTGGCTGGCCAAGCTTGTCTCGCACAATAGAGATGACCTGCAAGAAACGACCAGCCCAAGAACAGACAACTCAACTCATCATCATCTCTTTATTATGTTCTTATGGCGAAAAAAAGAAACAACTCGGGCACATCATTCATTCCTCTCTATATATTGAGAATCATTCCGGCATGATGGCGTTTTCTTCAGACCATACCAAGGACAGCAAAGGGTCGATGAACACGGGCCGTATCGACGCAATCAGCACGGCAATCAGCAAGTGCGGTTATTCATCTCAGCTTGATGTGATAGCATTCGCTAACTCCGTTAGGGCGTTCAATAACCGCGGCCTTTCTGATGTGAACGTCCATCTTGGCACGTTTGAGCTACCCGCTCATAGCCTTGCTTTGGTGGCTCAAAGTGAATACTTCGAGAAGATCCTCGGCAGTGAATGTAAAGAGGGTCTCTCGAGGGAGATCACATTCTCCGAAGGAAGTCTGCAAGCGTATTGGAGGGTTTTTGAGTATCTTTATACTGAAGAGTATTCTGAAGACCCTTGTCCAACGCTCGATGCACAAGCTGAGACTGAGAGTTCTAGCACGGTACTCGGATTTGGCTAACTTGCAATCAGATGATGATGAGCTGTCAAAAGATCTCCGTGTCTATAGCTTAGCGGAATATTTCAGTATCAATGGTCTCAAAGAGCACGCATTGAGCAGATTTAAAAGCAAAATTTCGCGTCTGTGGGTCAGCGAGATTTTCCCAGATTGTATTCGAGAAGTGTATGGGTCAACGAGTGACCCCAACTGTGACATGAGGAAAGCGGTAGTGGAAGTCACGCGGGAAAACCGGGGGGAGCTATGGGTAAAGAAGGCGTATCGCGAGCTTATTCATGAAGGAGGCGATTTCGCAGTCGACTTGATGGATGAGCTGATGTAGGCGCAAATAAAAGCCAAAATGTTACAAACATGCCTACATAACATGTCTACCATGATGCGTTGATTCCATCCGGCCGCACGTGAGACACTATTCCTACATCGATTCTATTCGGACTATCTCTGCCTCTTCGACGGATGTGCTGTGCAGGCGGCTGCCTTCCGTTTGACAGGTAGACGGGTGGTTGGCGCGTCCTTGCTGTTGCCGAACCCGGCCACGTCCGAAAAGGGAGGATGATCTAAGGCAATCTTGGGCTTTCCGCCGTTCTTGCCGCTCGCACTGAGTTTGTCACTGGTCTTGGCCATGGTGCTTGGAAGTATTGCGACCTTGGCATGGTTTCCGCGCCTGGCGAGCTCTAGAAGCTCTTGGGGCCCATTAAAAGACATTCCAAAAAAATTCGTGTCTAGAGGTAGAGTACTAATCTTTGCCAGGTTATGTTAGCTTTCTCGCCGTTAATATGGTGGCGTTTGAACCTGATCGTGGGCTTACTTCACAGAATTCGCCGTCAAGCGAAATACCGCCGTCGCGCACGCCATCGTCATCGTGAGGCTCGTCTCCCACGTCCTCATTGCTCCTTTGTGTGGGGGTGTTTTCGTTCGTTAGGCTGGTGTTTTGTTGGGGACCCGAGGTAGTGTCGGAGTTTTGCCCATCGCCTATAGGATTGTGTCGGCGCTTAGAGACCCGGTTAGTACTACAGACGCGACTCTTGCTAGGAGCGTCGAGCAGAGACTCAGGGGGGGACTGTCGGAGAGTCCTCATGGTTTGAGAAGATGCGAAGGAGAGAATGAGGAAGGAACGGCGAGAGGGCGGCGAAGGCCCTTATGTACACCCAGTTGCACTGTCTCTCCCCTTCTTTCCCATCGGACGGATGGGTTTGAATGAATGAACACGAGGCACCACAGCCCCGGGCTAGGCTTTCTGGTCGACTCAACCTACGTGACAGCCGTGGTGTGTGTGGGGTGGTGAGTATTGATATGGAGGTCTGGAATGATGTAGCCCATCCTGGGCACGATGCCACCCCCTGAATATTATAGATTGATCATACCCTCTTCCCTGAGCCTTCAGGTGGCGAAGTCCGACATCAGCCCCCTGTGCGTGTAGTCCACCCTGCTTCTCCCTGCCTAGATGGGAAGTTTTATGGCGCGAGAGGTTATGCGGGCTAATCAGTCTGCCTCGTAGGAGCCCCTCGAGGGTGTAGTTCTGCATCACGCAACCTCCTGATGAAGCAAGTTAGGAAGAGGGCTGTCCCAATGGGAGATCTGGACGAGGATGAAGCACCTAGATGAAGACACCTCCTATCCATCACCGCACATGTTGCGTCTCCAACATGACCCCCTGGATACCCCTCGGGTGGCATCTTCATATCTATGCAGCCTGGAGGCGAAGCATGTTGCATGGTTTGCTTCATCAGGCCACCCCTTGCCGCCAGGAGGAAGGTGCCTGCCCACATGGGCCAAGCTTTCTAACTGAATCCTGAGTGCCTAGAGGTGCTGGGCCCCTTTCCTCATTGCCACCACTCTCTTCCCACCTCTCTTCTCACTCGAACGGCTCATCAACGCACTCACTTGTATCGGACGTTGTCAATCATCAATTAAGATTGGTCGGAGATACCATGGATATCGTGCAGGCAGTGAGTCGCTGAAACTGTCCATGGAGAGTTACTGACAGTGTTCAAGAGTATCCATTGCCAAATGATGATGTCGGCCGGTGTTCTTGACTTAGCAACGGGTACTGGGATATGGGCAATGGATTACGGTCAGTTCAGGCGAGACTTGCCTTTAAACTCGAATCTGAATAGTTTCAAAGCAGACACACACCTAGATGCGCATGCTATCGGGGTTGACTTGAGCCCAATTCAACGTCAATGGTGCGTTCCCCTGGACTACCTACGGGCAACGCTGACGCGAAGTCTAGGACGCCGACCAACTGCGAATTCGAAATAGACGATATCGAGGAAGATTGGACATAGAACAAACACAAGCTCCGTATGATTTTGCCGGAGCATGATCGGGGCTATTACGTATTGGCAGGGCCTCGCTCAGAAGGCAATCCAGTAGGTCTCTCGCAGCGGTCGGGATTCCTCGCTGATCAGTTGCAGAAACCTAGAGCCTGGCGGCTATTTCGAGATCCAAGACTACTTATATCCCCTCTTCGGCAACCGCGATGATGGGAAGTGGAGAAGACCTACCTACACGAATGGTCGGTCAATATGGTGGAGGCGGCGATCGATGTTGCCCCACGGTTCGCGAAAATACTCGAAGATGCAGGCTTCATCACCGTCGGAGGAAACACGACACGTCCCAATCGGAGGCTGGCCACGCGACCCGACGCTGAAGTGGACGGGCCGCATTGTCGGCGGAATGCTCACGGATAACCTCGGAGGCACTAGCTCTGCTCTGTTCACTCGCCACTTGAGATGGACCGAAGAGAAAATGCGCGTGTATCTGGCACGAGTCCGCAAAGAACTTCAGGATCACGACATAGAGGCATTGTCCAGAGTGTAAGTGACCCTTCAGACCATGCGGTGACAGAGACTAATTGGAGCTAGGTACGCTGTGTGGGGACGCAAGCTTCTCGATGCCGGGCTTTGATCATACGTCGCGATTACGAACGTGTCCGATGTCGAAAGGCCTTTAGGCTTTAGTACGGCAGACAAGACAATTCTAGGGGGACAAAGACCAGCGCAGAATAGGAGGACACAGATGCAAGACGGAGAGCACCTCGGCGCCGATTCCCCCGAGCAGATGTCAAAATGTGATGTGGCAACGGCGAGATCGCGTAAGATACTGTATTAGTTTGTGGCATACAAAGGCTTTGATGCTATGTGCCAACACTGGATTGATGACTAGAGTGGTGAGCTTTGAGGAGCTCTTCAATGAGACATCTGCATGGCTTTGCGATTCTCAATGAGCCACTCTACAGTTCTGCTCATAATCGCCTTCCCCTTTGACTTGGAGTGTTCTATTTTGGCCTCGAGCCCACACAGTGTGAAAACACGCCGGGAAATACCGTATACAGTCTTAGACTCTTCTAGAATAGACGGAATATTGTTGTTCCCGATCCGGTTTCTTGCCTTACGGACAAGGCAGTCAAGTATGAGTCACGACAGGGTCAGAAAGTCAACTTCAGCACCTTTGGCTCACAGCCCGACTTGAACTGAACAACTCAACGATCATGGCCCCAAATCTGTTAGTCGCATCTCGTATTCTGATGCAGGACATTATAAACAGTAAGTTACAGGATAAGCAAGAAATCGCGGATGAAGACATTGCCAAGCTCATTGGCTGTTCGACGCGAACTGTACGCAACGCACGGTCGAACATTTTACATTTCGGCGCCATCGATGCCCCCAAAAACAGCGTCGGTCGACCCAAGATTGTCACTCCAAACATGGTAGCGGCTTTGAAAAATCAACTGGGCCGTGAACCAGGCCTGAGTCAGGACGAGATGGCCTCCTTCCTCCGTAGAGAGTTCGACCACAATGTGTCGCGTGCCACCATCGGTCGGCTTATTAAACATATCGAATGGTCCCGGAAAGTAAACCGGAACGTCGCGCAAGAGCGTAATCAAGACCTACGAGATGAGTACATATTCAAGAGGTCGTCCTATCATTCTTTCCAGCTTGTCTTCATCGATGAGAGCGGATCTGATCGTGGCATTGGAATCCGAAAGTATGGCTACGCCCCCAGAGGTATCACTCCGGTCCAAGTAAAGCGATTCCATCGGGGCAAGAGGGTTCAGATCCTCCCTGCCTACACGCAGGGTGGGGTTCTCTATTCTGAGGTCTACGAGGGCTCAACTACGACAGAAGTATTCGATGGATTCATCGGAAGGCTGTTGCCACACTGCGGCAAGTTCCCAGAACCTAATTCCGTTTTAATCATGGATAATGCGTCATGGCACTTCTCGCCAAGTATGACGCAGATGTGCGAGGCTGCAGGCGTGGTGGTGCTTGCCCAACCGCCATATTCACCTGATTTAAGCCCAATCGAGGAGTTCTTCGGCGAACTCAAGAACTACATCAGGTCTCGAGTCTATAATGATATGGAACTTGTCAAGGTTGACTTCAAGTTCTTTGTGGAAGAGTGTGTTAGGGTTGTGGGCAGTCGAAACAAAAGCGCAAGAGGACATTTCAAGAATGCGCTGATCGCTATTGAGGAGCCCTAAGATTATTCATTGCCATGCATCTGTACGTAGCAAGTTCGCTATAGTCTCTGCTGTGTTGTGCAGTGTCATAAAACACTTAATATCACAAACGAAACGCCATGCCACACCTTCCAGTACGCCATACTCCTTGTAGAACCGGTAGTATCTCCCTCGATTCGTGTACACCATGTCAAGGTCAAGGTCAAGGCCATGGTCCAGGGTCAACTCTTGGACCTGGTTAAAATGGCCCTCCTGTTCTTGACACCCGATCTTCGATCTCTGCCATGCAACGTATGCTTTGACTGTATCATCTCTCAACGCCTGGAAGTCAAAGGTAGGCGACGTTGAAAACACCATCTCAGGTGTAGATGGAATTTCAGTCCCATACCGGGTGGCATCCGCGTCACTTGGAATGTTGTGAATGTGAATTACCGGGGGGCTAGCAGAGCGACTGCCTGAGTCCCGACACTGTCTCTTGCGTTTACGCTCCCCTTGTTGTTGTTCTTCGGCGTATAGCTCCTGTCGGACACGTTCCGGTATGTCATCATGTGTTCGCATGCTGTGACCCTTCTGTGCCTCATCCACTAGGATCTTCAAGTGATGACCTAGCAGTTTATAGTGCCTTTGCCCGTCCTGCCAGCAGTATGGGCCTTTGTCGCACGGCGGTCCCGGACAGCGAACAAGGGCGATAACTTCCCTCCAGCTATCTGGCCGGCCCAATACGGCTACCTCAGCATCATTTCGGGCGTTAGTCTCGGCAAGTTGAGTAGCAGTCGCCCCTCTGGCTGCGGGTGCCGTCTTGCCACATTCCTCGTAGTAGAATACAACTTGGGCCGATAGCTTTTTGCCGTCACGCAAGAAGTGGCTCCAGTCTTGTAGCTGCTTCGCCACATATGACCAGTCAACCTTCAGTTCTGGAAATCGCTTGGTTATACTGCCCGTTTTTCGATCGGTCACAGATAGCACAATCTTCGTTTCGGTAGAGCCCCAAGGCTTGGGGCTCTCTTCTACGGCGGCTTCTTCGATCGAAGGACATGTTTCCAGAACCTTTGTGGCGATATTACCACACCCGGTTCCGATTCACCCGATCTCTGCCTGTTATTCACCGATAACTTCCATTCCACGTTATAGCGTATGCACTCGGGCGGCTGTTCGTTGTAGGGCAGCGTAGGTCTCCAGTCGGCGTAAGGGACAAAGGCAAGGCCCAGCCCAGCAGGTCTCAGCTGGCTCTTCCGGGTCAGGGCTACTCGTCGAGACTGGTCATCGTCATCGGGAAAGTCGCTAGGCGGAGACTCGCTCGCTTCGTCACTAGTCCAGTCATTCACAGAGCTATCCGCATCCATGGTTGGTAGTTCAACAAACGTCGCGGAGGACTAGTAACTGGGCGTTGCGTGACGGCACTCCACGAATGAGTCACAAAGGACACCATGTCCTTTATTGGAGAGTCACGTGATACCCCGCGTCCCCCTTGTGAGATCTGTTACCGTTCAACTGGCTGAGATTCTGTCCTGCCCTTGAATTAGGAATACAGCACCAAAATAAATAATTTCTGGGAGGCGGGCTGCGGGGATGAGGCTGGAGGTGATGTATGTGATATAATCCCCGCTCATGTGATAGAATCCCCGCTCTTCCGGCGCCACAATATCACTGGCCAAACTCCTTTGCGAGTTTAGGATCTTCCCCATCCTCTTGTCACCATCCTTCGGTGTTTCGCTGGTTCAATATGTGCACTCAGTTTTACACGACTAAAATCTTCGCCTGTGGGGACCGGGACGTGGAGGATGTCAATTGAGCGCTGCGACAACCCGACCAAGGCCAACCATGAAGTCAAGCGCTCGCCGATGGGTTCAAGGAGGGAAGGCAAGAAGTGTGGGAAGTATGGCTGCAGGAATCCCTGAGGTGTATTGGGTACGTTGTTAAGTTGACGTGAAGTCATCGTTCCACCGTGCTGATTATGTATCGCAGATAAGAGTTGCACAAGCTCTGCGGCAGACCTCCCTATTTTTCATCGGATTGAAGGCTCATAATCTCTGTCATAATCTCATGCATGTTTAAGAATTTGTGTGTCCAACAGCCAAGAATAATCTCACCTCCCCAGAGTCCTTCAACATCGGGAAAAATCCCCCGCGCGAAGTTACCATCTACGACGTTCTCGTAGTCTTCCATTTCTTCGATTGTAGCGAACTGCCCACCAGGGGCACGAAATGGCCAGTGACCCGTAAGAATAGTGTAAAGAACAGAGCCCAGACTGAATATATCCACACTAGGTGATGGTGTCCAGGTTGAATTGGGGTTAAAAAAGCCAGCGTCTGGAAGTTTATTGGCCGATAAGTCAAGCTCCTTGCACGTAGATCCTCCAAAGTCGCAGAGCCAAATGTCCATTTCCCGAGGCCACGTGCCATGGACGAGGAAGTTGTCGGGACGTAGATCGCTGTGTATGATACCCCGGCTATGGGCATAAGCTACTGATTCGATGACTTGGCAAATCCATTTTCTTCGAACATCGGGAAGTATGTCTTCGTTGCGTTCGTCAATGAGGCGCTGGAGGCTGCCGTGGCTGGCCTCCGCAAAAAGTAGGCCCGTGGGGAAACCCACCTGCCAGCCTAGGTATCTGTTGATTTGTAAGCTAGAATAACCCAGATTGAATGATTCTCGTACCGGACAATCAGAGGGTGCTCTCCTAGTCTCTCTAGGATTTGCCGTTCCACGTGGAAGTTCTCGAACACGCTTGGTCTTTCCCGTATGATCTGGTCTTCCAACACCGTTACGGGGGCTTTCAAGATGATTCCGGGTCGGATGCGGAAAAAGCAAGCTGTTGATCCGAAGAACAACTTTCCGGGGAGCTTGATCAGACTAGCATCCGCCTCAGATAGCGACTGACGTTTTCCGCCAAGAAATTGGATCACAAGGCTGTGCGCGCTTGCGAGTTTTTGGGCGATCAGCCGCCAAAGTTGGCGCCATGATGGAAGACGCATGAAGTTCAGAAGAGACATCGCGGATGATGCTCTGGCGTAGGCAAATGCAACCTACGCCTAACTGAACAGGCGTCGGTGGAACGAATCCCCGGCCCAGTAGCGATGCAGAGTCACGTGTCGCTTCGGCTTAACCCCGGAGGCATGGCTTCGCTGATCTCTGAGTATCTTAGTGCGAGGCTGCACTGTCCAGATTCCTTACATAAGCTCCGGCGGGTGCCATGTACTTGCTAATACCTGCCGCTGACTTACTTGCGCTAGCGCCCTTTATCCTGAACAGAACATCAGTGCAATTATAGCGGGGCCAAGGTTGGCTAGTTCAGGCCACTCAGCTGAACTAAGTATCTTCAAGTATATCTATGTACTATACCATGATTCACCGTGATCCATGCGCCGCCCCCTTGAAAATAGGAAAGTGTTTGAGAGGAAGCCAATTGTGAGCAAGACTGTACCAACACAGCCCTCAAGCGACGTTTCCAAGGATAGCAGAGCCAGTGTGAAGACTCGCGACAGCTAGGGACCATTTTGAATGGGTGCTTTCTTCAAATCCTCCCAACGAACATAATATGAGGGCATCATGAAGGTGGTGATTGCGAAGATCTCTTCATCATCCAGCACCTTGCGGCGCCAAACTTGCCCACCGACCTTAAAGAAGACGTGTTCGGTAGATGGCACTCCATCTCCTCGGAGAGTCTGTAGTGGAAGACTGTACCGGACGTACTGTTTGTGAATATCTGGCCCTTGTCAGTACATATCACAGGAACGCCAAATATCTGATCTACCTTCCCAGTCCTTCTGCAGGAAATACATCTTTCTTGTTTTAGTCGTCATAGTTAGAAGTGTTGATGGAAACGTCTCCCACACCATCGTGAAAGAAGGCGCAGAGGGCTTATCAATACGATTTGACTCTCAGGCTTATGTTCAGCTACAGATACACCCGATTTCATGCTAGGAGTGGCGTCCCAGAGCTTCCCGAGGCCAAGGGGTATGATTGAGTGCTTGAATGCTGGTCACTCTGCAACCCCTGCATACACGCTGTTCTGGGGTTGTCCACAGATACATCTCCTCTGGCCCATGACTCGCTTGATCTCAGCGTCACAGAACGTCCAGTCGTCAGGCGAGACCTAGCAGAGAGACAATGTGACATGGTTGATCATTCAACTTGAGCATATTTGAGTGATGATCATCTGTCTTCGTGGGCTGACGTGCCGCAGTCTGGATCGTTGTCGGTGAGGCGAATGACCACTCTGTTGTACTTGGGCGCCTACGACTTTCTACACCGGTTAATAGCGCCACTTGATGGGATGGCCTCCTGCAACATCTCTTGCATAAGCAACTTTGCTAATGCAGCTCGAACACCTATCACTTGCGGCCTGCAGCGAGGCCTGCGCGAGGTGCATACATGGCAAGGTTTCGGTTTGGTGTCCAACAACTTCTCAGCGAAGCTCCGTGCGGATGATTCACCCCTGCTTCATACTGAAAACGCCCGATGGTGTCTCTGGATCTGCCCAAGGTTGCTAGCTGTGCGTTCCTCAGCGGCTGGTGCACAAGTCTCGAACGAAGCGTTCCAAGGTCTTTTTGAAAAAGTTTCAGGAAGACGGAGCCGGGACACTGTCTGATGTCCCAAGTATTGCATCGCCTTACATCCTTAGGTATCAGCCCCCCTTCCGAGGATGATGCAGTTACGGAGATTGAGGACTCGGATTTGGATGAGGGCACTGGGTGTTCGGGAGTGAGGGCAATTGGGAGGCACTCGGCCCAGCGTCATTGCAATGATCGGAAGCAGGAACAGTGGTATGAACAGCCTTCAGTATAGGTTGCCAATGCGTGCGGCGGACTGCCTTCGGAGGACCAACCTCTAGTAGCTAAAGTAGGTGAACGATGCTGCATTTAGACGTGTAATGAGCAAGATGTGTTGGCCATCGCCTAGGTGTGAGAAAGAGCAATTTCGATGTTTACCCTTCTGCCGCCTTACGATGAACCATCTCTTCCAAAACCACCGTTATCAGGCGAAGGTGCAGGATATGGAGCCAGACATGGGCTGCCGTTATAATGTCTCTGGTGTCTGGGGTCTTCTGTGGATGCCCACGTACTGCAGGTAACGACAGCGTCTGGACGCCTCGATCGCTGTCGGCCGATTCTAGAGTCCGCCTACACCCTGAAATGCTGCAGCCGTAGGGTCAAAGCCTTGGCAAACTATTTTCGGCCGTGGCGGTACATCCACCTTTCCAGATCCGGCCTCACGACGGACCGGATCTTCTCAATCCCTGCATGATGAGTACGCCATTGCCTCCACGCCTGAGCGGTGCTCCACCCATCATGCCAAGCTCATTTGCCGACAGTGCTCACTATAGGTCTTGGAACTGTACCAGGGGGCACGACAGGCGGATGCGGTCGCGTAGCGGGCACTTTCTCATGCGCAACCGGACGGGAAGTGGAGCCCACTGCCCGCGCCAACATCGGCCCGTTCGCCAGAGGGAATCGGCAAACATACGTGCGTGTACCAAGAGAGCCTACTGAGCCAGACGTGCTAGAATTCATGAGATATTTGGCCTTCGAAGCCGGGGCTTCTGTTCGTGATCTTGTCAACGTATGAAAGGACAATTTGCCAAGGTTGCTATCGCTCTGGGCGTCGGGATCGATGGTGCTGGCCACACTCGTATCGCGCTGATACGTAGTCGTGCGACGGCCGGTGAAAAGACAGCTGGAACGGCAGGCACTCGACTGGCGCAACCTGCTAAGGCGTTCGGAAGATTGTTGCGTATTCTTAACAAAGACCAACGGGTGGAGACAGAGAGCTACCATGTGGCGGTGTGATGTGCTCGACCGCGCTGGCCGTGTCATGAGCTGTCTGACTCGGCCCACGCTCACTCAGAGGGCGCCTGGCATGGCTGCTCAGCTTCGACCGTCTCGTCCGCTGCTGTGCTAACAGTCGTTCACTCGTCAATATCGACCAGGGTCCAAGATGACCGCTGCGGGCACCCCCAGGCCTACTTGAGGTAGCGCCCGGTCGGATTTCTCACCCCCCAACTGAGCTTAGCGCCATCTAGAGGCAGCTTTGCCCAGACCCCCTCCTGCATCTAGATGGCTTACCTGACGGCAACTTTTCCAAGACCCCCCCCCTCTCCTGCATCTGGCTTAGTGCTAATCTAGCTACACTACTTTACGCATTCAGATGAGCACCGTTGAAACCCGACTCAGGTGTTTTACTACGCCAGGGCCGAGGGACATGGCAGCTACATGCACATATCGTATCAGGCCATCGCCGGCGGGCACGCAAGTCGGGGAGAATCACAGGCCGCGAGCGCTGCAAGCGAGATTTGATGTTGCGGGGCGATGCGTCGTCCTGAACATTTGGGTCCAGTTCCATGACCGCTTGATAGATACAACCTTTTCAGAGTCTAAATTAGTTCGTCGTGATTTAGCTTTACGGCGCGGAGGAGCTATTTGTCGTGATGAAATAAAATGACAGCGTAGATCAACAGGTGTTGCCATAATTCGTGTTCGAAACTTCCAACCTCAGTAGGTTAGCAGATGCTCTGAAGAGGTAAATAGCACGCCTCGATGTCCCGGAGTAAAATGAGCATTTCCAGCAACAAACAGGATTGATAGATCGAGTAGCCAGGACGGAGCGAGTAACAATGAATCGTTTCTGTAGCTGCAATTCTATGGCGAGGTCAAACTCTCGCTGCATTTCAGCGCTGGCTTGCTTCAGCTCAGGCATATCGTCCTGCATGTGAGAAAAATGGCTGTTGTGGACAAAGACAAACCGGTGCCGCCGGTGGGTGGAAGGAGGCACGTAAACGTGTTGCGGAATCATGGGACCGGACGGCTCCGGAATAGAGCATAATGCCCACTCATGGTTTCCCTCTTCGGTGGTCTTGGTGCTACCACCGGGAACACCTGAGTCGCCCGAGCCACTCATTGTTGAGCATCAGAAGAGGTAATGGGATCAGGAACTGGAGACCTGTGTAGACATGTGTAGAGACGAAGTTTCCGTCCGTCAAGACAGAAGTATGTGATATGGACCAGAAAGATGTCAAGGTAGTGGGGGAAAGGGACCGTTGCGGGGAACTCGATACTATATTCGGGCCGCGGTCGATGCTCGTGGAGGAACCGAATGTAAAGTGTGGAACTCGGCAGCGGCGTCGTCTACATATTTTTCCTCCAAAGTAGGCGGATCAGGCAGTGAGAGCAATAGTGCAAGTTGCGTAACGCACCGCCATTTCCATTTCGTGTAGTTTCGTAGGATTGCCGACCACTGATCAGCTTGCAGTGCCCAACTAGTGACTCACAGTCAGCCTTAATTTCGCGAGATCGCTACTTGGAGACTCTTGAAAGCCATCAGTGCCTAGAAAATGCATGATATATAACTCGATCTGATACCTCTTCGTATTAGCGCTCCCTACAACAGCTCTAAGCAAACAATATTCACCAGAGGCTCTCGGGCTCCATGTTCCCTGCCTCCAAAACAGACGCGCTCCCATCAGCGGAAAGGCCAGTACGTGGACGCAAAACGTGACTATCTAGAAGAAAAGGAGAAAAGACGAAGAACGCGAGGAACGCGAAAAAGGAGCGGTCTCTTATCAGTGGATAGCAAGTCCATCTCACCACTAACTTGGCCTATTGCGGATGTTGTCATAAGTTGAGTTCGGGTAATTGAGGCAATTCGGTGTTGAATCCAAGTTCCCCATAGCCTCTGCAGCTGCCTGAATGAGAGACTCCCCTCCGTCCTTGTCCGCGGAAGCCTCCCAGAACATGCTCCCGCCAAGACCGTGACTCATCGCGAATATGACCTTCTCGCGAACCATGTCTGGTGTATCGAACGAGATGAGTCTACGCTGAATGGTATCGTACGTCCAAGTCGCGCCGACACTCTCATCCTTCTCGACCTTCGATTCGGCAAACGGAAGGTCTTTGTAGTCCCAGACACCAGCTTCCCAGCTACCTTCACCGACGCCCTGGAATGGGCTCCCAAGGCCATCCGTACCCGTAAATGCACGGCCGTATATGGGCATTCCTAGGGAGAGCTTCTCAGCAGGTATGCCGCCGTTCAGATAAGCCTTCACAGCGTCCTCACTGTTGAAGGGGGTCGAATCCGGATTGCTGACGCTGGGGTAGATGTTGGCTTGGTGGCCAGCGACGTTGCTGAAGGAGCCGGCGAAGTCGTATGCCATGAGGTTGACGCGGTCCAGTACCTGGTCGAGTTCGGGGAGGCGAAGCTTTTCGATATGTGCAAGGCCAGCGGGAGCCGCGATGGAAAGCTGGAAATGATACCCGTCCGCATACTCCGCAGCATAATCGTCGAGTTCCTGGCGAACGCGCTGAAGGAGCAGAACCATATCATTCGCCTCGATATCATTCGCCGGGTACTCCCAATCAATGTCAATGCCGTCTAGTCCCCAGTCTTTGACGAGCTCAACGGACGTTTGAGCGAACAGTGCTCGGCTCTGTCCGTTTGAGGCAGCGGCAGGGAAGTTGGTCGACCAGGTCCAGCCTCCAATGGAGAGCATCACCTTCAGGCCACGGTTTGCCTCCTTGAGCTTGAAGAGCTGCTTCACACAGCCATAAGCATTGTGGCCAATGTCGTTCCAGGCTGAATAGTATCAGTTCTGCGCAACCCGCGGGCAGCGGAAGCCACTCACAGTCATCAGGGTAATGCTTCTCGAGATCCGCATAGGTGTCGCCAGAGAACCTTTCACGTATCAGCAAATGGATCGTTCGTATGAATGGGTATAGCGCACACTGCGCCGTCGGCTCGAACGTTCATAAAAGAGTACAGGACATGGGTAACGTGGGAGACTGGGAGGTCGGCAGGCTGGAAGTCACGACCGTAGATACCCCTTGCACGATGTCAATACAACTCATTCGCAGCAAGAGCCCGAACAGACCAGTTGGTGAAATAGACTGCATTTGTATAGATGCTCGACCGTTCTACTGCATACTGTTTTCTGGCGTCGATGCTAGGGCCGGCCAGACCGGTGGCAATTTGAATACTAGCAGCGAGTGCTACCAGAGAAAGGATGAATGCCATTGGAAGGAAATACCGCATCAAACTGGATTGGAGAAAAAATATACTATTCTGCCCGGCACCGGCGTCGAGAAATACAGACAGAGTGGCCAAAGGCGGCCCGCGGGTAACACCGCAAGCCTCCTAGCATGCTTTCCGAAGCAGGGATGGTGGCTAACGGACCTCGAGCGTAGCGGGTATATTGGCTGCCACTGGCCGGTTTCACGTACAAAACAGCCACATATACATAGTGCTCACGGAGAGTCCTTTGCTAAGCTATTCGAAGATACTAGTAAAGGAGTAGGATCGGTAATAACGGGAGTGGAAAGCTTGAGATCGGCCCACGAGGACGTGGCAAAGGCGCTACGCAAGCCCAATGTACATAGCCAAGCACTACAATAAGAAGTGGTTAAACCGACAGTTCTACGTGGGAGACCGCGTCTTGAATTCGATGAAGAACCTGAACATACAGCAGCCTAGCCGCAAACTTGCAGAAAAAGTACGTGGGACTGCACCAAATTAAGAAAATGCTAGGTCAGCATGGGCTAGCTTACGAATTAAGGCTGCCTTGGGCAGTCAGAGTCACAACACGTTCAAAATTCCGTCACTCGAACTGCACGGTAGCGACAACGAATCAGCGATGAAGCCGCGTAGATACCCTTCGTTGAAGAGGAGAACCCAAAAAATTAAGGAATTGTGGTAAACCGCTACAACGGGCAAACGGCAACTGTTGCTGGCCAAGTCGAGAGGCTTTCTTGACAGCGAACAGCCAAAACATATAACGGCATAACGGAAAAGGAGCGATTACAAACATCACACTACGAGAGGCAACTAAGCAGCGAAGTTACAGCACGACATAGGTGGGGGAGTCAGGGTACGGGCAGCAGGGCGCTAGAGGCGGCCCGGGGGACTCAATTAACAAAAGAAAGGCTGCAGGAGTAGACGACTTCTGAGTGACCAGGGCGATGTCGATCAGGTGGATCAGATAGCGGGCACATGGGATGTGGCGACTTTGCGGCGTATTAGCTGCGGAAGCTGGCGGAGGAGCAGCGAAGGATACTTACCAGTAGTATATAGGAAGCGACGCTTTACCATAGTTAGTCTCTGACTCGGCCCCGAGCTATCAATATAATCGCCAACGCATAGATAGTCCTATTACACTCGACTGTGACAGACAACCGCTCAGGTAACCGACGTTCTAGAGTACCCTACATAAACCGACCTTTGTTCTGTCAATGGCTGGTCCCGTTCTTGGTCAATAGTAGGGGTGCTCAATAGGCCTTGTAAGGCCAAGGAGAATCAAGGAAGGAGAGCTCCAGCTCCCAGCGACGTAGCTGCCGGGAAATTGTTCCGACCGAACATGCGGCCTTCACGTGCTTTCAAAGGTACCCCCACTTTTCTCTCCACTCACAGCACGATCATTACTTACACAAATGATCGTTGCCATGATCACCGAGATCATTACGAATCGCTGCGAGCGCCCAGGCCGATTATTGTTGAGAACAATGACCACTCTAGTATAAAGAAGCCACGCTTCACCATATTCAGTCTCTATCTAGCTATTAGTGCAATTACCAGACTGTGACCCGACCGCCCAAGTCAACGACATTCTTGTGTACTCGTTCATAAACTGACTTCAATTCTACCTACCCGGTAGTTAGTCTAGACCCCAACATCACAGAAATAATGGGGTACTGATCCGTGCTTGACACGCCATCACTCCTACGGGCATGTTCGTCTGGCCCGTGATATGCTCTACGGAAACGCGTCTCACACGATCAAGTGATCCCAAACTCGCGGTATACGTGCGTCGGAGCCCCACTGTTACTTTCACGACACTCTATTGCCTAACAATCCTATAGATATCCTTTAAACAAGTCTGCATATATCTTCTTTAGTAGATAGCTACTATGGGCTGGTATTACTAGATTCCTAACCTCCCTCGTCTTTTTCCTTCTATCTAAAGCCTAATGAAGCCTTCTTTCGCGGATCAGTTGATGCGCTAGCAAATCTATGGTCGCAGACCATTCCAAAGAGTGCATTGGACTCACCTGAGCGCACGCCGATTGTCGAACATCTCACGGCCTGCATCTGAAGAAAGAAGCCGGTAATCGCATCACTTGTTGGATCCCGATGCGCTGCAAGGGTGCTGCTCCAGGTCAAGCAGCCCATGCAATATCCATGAGCACTTGCTCCCCCGAAGTCCTGAGTCCGACATTGAGCCCCGTTGGCCTTGGCTTGTGTCTGGCTTGGCTGGTGTCGGCCTTGATACAGCGAATGCTCCCGCGGCCAGCGGCGTGGATGCTGCTTTGTTTGGCTTCTCACTGTGGACCGACGGTGCCCGATTGGTGCCCGCTCTCGATGAGTGGCCTTAAGATACCACAGTGTTATCTTGCATGAGCAGTGAGTCAGTGACCTGGAGCAGGAGGTACATGTATGCAGCCTACTGCAACGTGACCGCATCACCAACGTGATACCAACCCGCAGGCACATCTAGCCGCCGTCGCCATCCGACAGAGTCTCCCGCCGATATGACCGGTGGCCTCGTGATCCTCTTGCAGCTCGTGGTTACGGTAATGAAATCAGCACGAGACGTGTCATTTGTCCAAATAAACCTCATTTCCCAGACATGATGCAAGACAGTACAATCGGACGGATACAGCTTCTGGAGCGCCAAGTTGCGACAGGTGATTCTTCCAAACCCCATACTTGGGCACTTGGTGTCGTATGTTTCTTTCAAATGCTGATTTTGACCAGCTGGCAGTGACACTACGCTGGCGACGGAATGTCTCGAGTGCCTGCTGAAGCCTGAGTACGGGGACCTTGGACGTATAAGCAGGTTGCTGGGGAAGACCACTGGTTCCGGCGATCCAGTATCTCAAAGCCCAGACACCGACACCGACTTCTATCACTACGCCGCGAAGCACTGGATTATACACCTTGTCGCAATTCCGCTTCCTTCAGCAAGACTTGTGGAGCTGACAGTCAGATTCCTGACTTCGGTACAATTCTGCTATTGGGCTGAATTTTCAGTCAAGGATCCTGGCGATATCCAAGCAATCCGGTCCGCGGACTATGATCTTCGCAGGTGGTCTAAGTCTCTGCCCGACAGTCTATCAGGCCAGTTGAAGGTGGAAGAATATTTCGAGACGCCTTACACTACCCTTCACGCTCAGTATACAAACTACGAAGACGATGAACTTCCACAATGGTTGACCTTGATGAGACTGGGTGCCTACTACTTTGACCAAGGCAGTACCTCCAAAATGGGAGATGTAAGGACGCGAGCCGCTAATGGCTTGGCTCAGCTTCTCGGCAAATGCAACCCTACGACACTGCAAGCTCGCGCCGACGCTGCATATGCGCCTTTGCTTAAAGGTGATGCGCTGAAAGCCCACGACATATACGTCCACGTTGCGCAAGACCAGCAGAGCTTTTCGAAAGGAGGCTCCAGGCTCAGCTATTATAAGACTCTTGTGTCTCAAGGACAAGCCGAATATTTGATGAGTAAGTATACTTCGGCTCTGGCGACTTTATCCCGGTCTTCTTCTTGGTTCTTGCAGGAGAAGGGAGATAAGAGTAATTACTATTTGACAGCACATCTCTGGCAGTCCTTAGTCGTATCAGCGAAAAACGGACTAGAAGAAGCTATTAAATCGCTAGAAGAGATTCGAGAAAAGCGGGAACAGCGGTATGGCAGACTCGACGGTTTCGCAAACACAGTCCGCATTATCCTTGGAGACCTCTACCGCCGGGCCGGGTCTTACGATCAGTCTATACGTAATGCTGAGTCTGGCCTACATTTCCGAGAGCAAGTGCGTCCATTTTCGCATCTTGCTGTCATTGACGCGGCTTTGCGGCTGGTCATCGTATATCGGCACTTTGGGCTCGCTGATCGCGCCCTGAAGCTTCTGGTCAAGGTGAACGACGAAGGCGAGATCAATCAAGGCGACAAATTTGTCCAGCTTTGTCAGGTTAGGCATCTACACAGTCTGCTTCTCTATGAGGGGCGTGAGGTCAGCAAGGCTATTGCTCAGCTTTACGACTTCGTCACGTGTCTTGATCCTCGCCAGACCAACAGAGCAATTCTATGGGCGTTGTTGGACTTGGCGCTCATGATGCGCCATAGGAACGCGCCCGGCGATGCTGAACTAGCACACTTGTTGTTTGGTGGTCTGGTGATTCCTCAGGTCGACGATGACGACGACCGTGAGCGGGATTCGGACCGTGTTTTGAAATTGGCGGAAAAAGCCCTGCTCACCTTTCGACGCGAGTCTTTGGAGGAGGCTGAAAGGCTGTTACATGAAGAGGGCATGACTTGGAGTAGACCCGAATTTCTGTGGCTGCCTCTGGGAATGCCTGCAGCTGATACAACTTGGATAGCAGAACCTGGAATGAATGACTCAACTCAAAGGCACAAATTTGAGGTTGCCGTGGGACGGAAGGAGAGGCCCCAGATGCCATGACACGGTGGTACTTGAGGGAAGTCTGGCAGTTGAATAGAGCACTCCACAAGGTCTATCGGGGCGAGAAGGCAGTCTATACACTCCAGTAGTACGTTGGACAAGGATTGAATCCTACCTCACGAAGCTGACTAAAGATCACGATTTGAAATGCGCATCATTTTGAAGCCGACAATCCGCGTCGGCAGCAACTCCGGGCTACTACCAGATTGATCTATTCATCACACTGCCAGTCCCGATGAAAACCCATCGAAGGCAACTGAACCATGCACGCTCTGCGAAGAGCACTATACCCGAACTGAGACTTTATGGAGGCCACCTGTAAGCTCCTCTGTGCGCCTTCACGAATGACCCAACACCATCCCCCAACCGCTCGGAGGCGCCGGCACATTCAAGTGTTTTTAAGCCCCTGTCGCGAGCCAGCATGGTAGTAAGTAGTTTTGCCTTTTACAACAGAGTCGAGTGATGGGTAGACCAGATAACTAGTCGGCTCCCTCTGAGAATGGATGGTCGATACGCGACACGGAGTTCCATGTAGGCAGAGAGCATGATCTAAGGCAGCCGGCCATCACGCAACTGCCTCCAGGGTCCCCGGGGCAAGGGGCGACTCAGACAGATGGTTAAGAATGGAGAGAATTCTGCGCAGTTAATATGTGGTATTTTGCAATTATCCGAAGCGACGAGCTCCAGTCGATAAGATCAAAAACGCTCTAGTGAGCCGGCCGCTGCGTAAGTGCAATATGGGAAAAGGAGTATATTTGGAATATTCCGTTTGTGGCAGTAGCTCGCGACGCGTTACGCGCGTCGCGAAGCTGTTGCGCAGGCAACAACCAATGAACGCTGGGTGACCGATACACGCTCAAGATCGTCGTCGTCTGATTCGCTCAAAGAATTCCACGCTTTGCACTAGCACGCAACCACTGCTAGGTCCCAGGCCCTGAAATAGCCGAGTAGCAGCGCCACCGTAGCCCCCCCAAAGGCCTCTCCCTATTGTGGAGTTTCTGCCTCAAGGTTCGGGGAACGCGATCGTAGTGTTATGGCCAGGGCCAGCCATTCAAACAGAGCCACGGCAGCTGTGTACCTGCACGATCTGCATTGGCCGCGAATTTTGCGACCGTGGATGCACCATCCCAACCTGGCCGTCCCAAGCAAGCCCAAACTGGCCGCGAGTGGCCGCCGAAATTGGCCCCCGAAACTGGCCGAAACTGGCCCCCGAAATTGGCCTCCAGAACGCTTCAGTAAACCTGTGTAATGCAAACGGAGCTGTGTTTCGCGCAATGGAGTACGTCCGCATGTCGCCCACCAACTAGGGATATTATGGTCTAGAATGTCGAAATTCGTAGCGCCCAAGAAAGCCAAATGGTTCGGGCCAATCAGGCTGTTGGGACGTGATAGAAGGCAGCGACTTGGCGCGGTGTACCTCTCTAGAATATGTTCATTGGCTAGGTAACACCACACCACGCGAGATAGTGGAGAGACCTGCCATCATAATGACGGTGAAGGGAGTTGGTGCTCATATAAAATAATAGGTGGCATGGGCTTGGCTGGCGGCGCAGAGAGTGAGATTTTAACGGAAAATGTCTAGGCAAGTATTCTTCCTATATAAATGAACTCGGTGCATGTTTTGTCGTGAGGTTTCCAGTTTGAGAAGATCTAGGTACTTTGTGGGAAAGGATGTTATACGGGTGTGACGACATCTTAGATTTGGGCACTACTGAAAACATATCCCGTGTAGGAGGTGGGCGTAATCTACTTCGTAAAGATACGGGCAACGATTAAATTACGATGTCCTACGAGTGCCATGTCAGATTGATTCCAATCTTCTTCTGCTTCACTATCCCCCTACCTGTTATAAATCTGTGGAAGATCAGGAGATTATCAAACATAAAGGACGCCGGGGGCTTCGTTTCATTATCCAATTTCGAGACCCCTCGCTTCTCGGTGAGGCTCTCACGGCCGCCTGACGCGATCGATACGGTGTTCACCAGAACACAAGAGGGCACGGTAAGAAGTCGCTTGCTTTGATAGGTGACGCGCTTTTGCGCCTTATTTTGGTAGACGATTCAGTGAGTGTAGGGCCAGGTATGGCATGGTCTACCTAGGAATACCATACACACGAAACGAGCTAACTTCCGATAGGCGAATGTCAGCGTATATGTTCCGTAGAGGCCTCAAACAAAGCCGTGCTCCAATTACAGAGTGGACAGAAACTCGTGCACCTGATCGAAACATCGCCGTGCCAGAAAGGATGGGTTTCACCAGTCACTGGTGCGTCCACGATGGAGGCACTCCTCGGCGCGTTATGGATTATTCGGACCGCAATATTGAGAAGGTTTGTCATATTGTACACAACATAGGGATTGGTGTGGACTTGGCCAAGACAACAGCCACATTACAGTACTCAGAATGAACACACACGCACTCTAGTGTGCCGGCAACTGCAAGCACAGTATCAACTTCGCCCCATTTCATCCTTCATGTTACTCAGCGTTTGTTACCAAGGTTGAACCTGATCATTATTTTCTGAACATGACCGACCCGTATATATCTTACATTACAGTACCACGATGTTGCACCTAACGGTCCCTCTTGGAGGGCGCATCGAGCTTGTCCTTAGATCCTAAATACTAACATGAAGTTGGAGTTGACGTCCGCTTTTCTCAACGCCATCCATCATATCCTGTTTATTCTCGTTGCTGGCGGAAACACGTAGCACGGCAATATTCTCTCGTCTTTCGAACTCTTTAGCATATTGTACCGCTCGTCTCCAGTAATCCTTCTCGAGTTCAACTATTTTACATCGGAGTGTCGCCGTTTCTGTCCACAAGGTCTTGAGCAACTCAGGCGCTGGGAACTTCGCGGCCACTACCGCGAGATGCAAAAAAACTCGTTTCTCGGACAGCTGTAGTCGCATATTGTTGACTAAAATCTGGAAGCGCGATGTCGATATCTCGCAATCTCTTGCAAACTGGATCGCAGCACAAGCTAGCTCACGAAGAGCTTCTTCCCCGTACGGCTTCTGGTCAAGCACGGGGCTGTAGCTCATTCGCACTCATTAGTTGTACGACCATCCTGACCATCCTGACTGCACTGTAATCGTTTCGGGAACCAAGTCTGGTCAAAACAAAACGACCGAGCTTCTCCAGGAGAGACCTGCAGCTGAGGTGGAGGCTTGTAAGATCTGCCCAGTGTAGAGAAGTAGCGATGTCCTCGATAAGTTCTAGCGGGAGGTGGACGAGATAGCATGTCGGGCCTATCGCCATCTGAAACGAGTATCCAAAATCCTTAATCAAGGCGGAAGGCGAGAGGGACGGCGAGGCGTATCTGGGACGTGTTGGGAAGGGAGGGAGGCTCCTGTTGCCACCAAGGCTCAGCTAGCCTATGAATGGGGTGGGTTGGTAGGGCGCGCAGTTGGGGTGGAGGCGAATGCGCAAGGTCAGCGTGCGACTGCTGGCGATGGAGGTAGGGGATAGATCTTGCAATGCCCTCGCGTGAAACGTAAGGATCAAAGACACAGGAGCTCACCACACATTTATATCAACGTCTCTCTTGATCGCGGGGAATCAAAGTGGTCAGCCACTGAGGTAAAACCCTGCTTTCGCTCGGGCCGTTTATGCGATTGGTCAGATAAGACTGGGGCTGCGGCGTCTGCGCCTCGAACCGTATTAACTATTGCGGGTCTCTTGGGGTGTGTAAGAGCGCAGAACGCTTGTTCAGCCGCGATTTTCAGGGTCAGCGCTACGGACTTGCCGTTTGGTCATGTTGGTATCGGGCTGCACTATCTGCTGTATCGGCACTAGACCGTTACATCCAAACACTTCATGTTCTGGCTCACGCACTAGACACGGGCAAGAACATCTCCACCATGCGTAGCCTTGACAGCAGTGGGCGCCCTGTCGTGTCCCGCCCACCACGGCGCACACTGAACCCTGAGTGAGGCTCAACCCTCGCCCTAGGTCAAGTCATCCTCGATAAAGCATGCTAGTAGCATTATGTGATGGGCCAGAGAGCTAAATGGATGATCCGATCGCGGCAACCGGGATTTGTCTTGCTCTCGGAATTTATGGCCGTCCTTCTCAGATGTGACTATGCGCAAGCGTCGAAGAATGTATCGCGATATATCCCCAAAGTAGAGGGCAGCAACCACATTGCCAAGCTCAATCACGCCGCCTTTCGTCTTTCTCAACTCGCCTTCTGGCTCAAAAGCACCGTGCAGCACTACGCGATCGAGCTAACGCCAGTATATGGCCTGATCATCCGCGACCCAAAGGCAGATGACACCAAGGGAACGCTGGAGGCAATCCAGTCCTACGGTATCGCCTTTGAAATGACAGCCTGCAATAGAACTCGTCATGCTCATGTTGCATTGACCAGCTACGGGCAAATGTAGCTTTCTTGGCCGAAATGACAGCCCTGACTTGGGTCTCGTGATATAGTGTGATTCGTGCGTCTTGTCGTATGCCAGACACCTCACCACATGCCTGAAGTACGCGGTGGCAGCTTGGATCACATTGGCGCCACGATCGATGGCGAGACAGTGCGAGCGCCGAGTCGCTGACAGCGGTGAACCAATGCGGCGAGGGGGTTGGAGGGCAGGGCAGATTGGGCGGCATAATACAATGGAGATGGACGCTCAGGTCTAGGTGCAGATCTGGCGTTCCCTGCGTGAGCCCAAGTGTCTGACGCCGCTCGGAACATTGAAAAATGAGGCCTAATCGTCGATGTTGCCTCCGTGTTGCTTGAAGAGTTGGGCGTAAGGCTAGGGACGGTGTACCAAGTGGTTTGTCGGTCCTGTCATCGAAAACCCTTATATATGCAACTCCACCCCATCCAATGGGCCTAGCCGGTCCGCTTTTAGTTTGGAGAGTTCAACCAACAACACAATCGGTCGACCCACCCGACAGTGTGCGTTGGGTGTGATGCAGTATCTCGACATTGGCGATGTCATCATTGGACAAATGTGCATCCTGGGCTGCTATTCAGGCAGCCGTGCACAGGCCACCGATATGACCATATAAGACTTCCTAGAATTCATTCCAACTTGCGGCAGTGTTCTCTGTTCCGCACTAAGGTAAAGAGAAATCTCAACGACCAGGGACGTTTCGCTCCTTGGGATGTTCACCGGTGTTTAGCCACTAAATTTCTTGCTTAAAGTGTCACTTCTATCATTGACTCTTCCATTGAAGGCCAAAATCTTTCAGCCACCGAGTGCGGTGTGCCCCTTGGAAAGAGACCTCTCGACAAGAGGTAGGCAGTCCCAGTCTTGAAGACAATACATGCATAGCACTGAGATATTTAACAAATAGCCATATGATTTCTTATCACTATGGACGACACGAAACCCGGCCATCACATTTTGGAGTATGTAACCGTTGTGGCACGTGGGATCGCGGGTTTTGCAGACTGGGAGACGATCATTGCGTTGTCAAGCACTTCAAACGCATTGAACTCAGCTCTCGCTACGGAACGCCAGCTAGCCTTGATCATCCAACAAGCGATGGGAACAGTCAAGAGCAAAACATTTTGCAGCGCCCTGAATCATCTAGGAAAATTTACTCAGGGCTTCCTACGGAAACCTCTTATTTTACTGGCCTCGCGAATCTCCACGTTGCCCCGGCCGAGACATGACCGAATTTCTCACGCTTGAAGTGGCAGTCATATCGTTGGATCATCAATATCATCACATCGGCGTGACTTTCGCTTGTAGAACCCTAACGCCAGCACCAACCGTTTCAATAGTGTGAATGCAGATCGCTGGCGCAATTGGATCAGAGCCGTCTCGCGACTGTACTCTTCGAATAGAACTCGGATCTCGTTTTCTAGCTCACGCTTGTGAGTCAAATATTCAATCGTGTCTTGTATCGTCAGTACAATCGTGGACTCTTCGTCGTAAAAGCCTTGCCTCCTTCGCGTCCACTCTGATTCGCTGGCAGGATATTCGTCGCTAATGCGCCCGGTAGATCTGTTTGCTTTCATCATGGCCGTGTCGAAATGTTCTATCAAAGGTCATCATAGTAGAGTGATCGCGGGATGGGAAACAATTATTGGGGAAGCGGCGCCCAATAGGTGAGCGCTCGGGCGCTCAAATACACAAGATTATCTAAGCCGTACCCCATAAATCATGCACGCCCACCAATAGGACGTTATATTCTCGCGGCACCACTGATCATAGCAGCAATCAGCGCAGCGTCAAGGTCAGTAGACATAGCAGCAGTCAAATCAAAGATCAGCATAGCGTCAGCTTGCTGACCGCCGTCGCTTTTGTCTTTGCTTTGGCCGTGCTAGCCCGAGGCCTCGGGGCTTCTTTAGCGGAGGGCGATCATTAGATGGCGATGCTACTGGGCTTGCTGACCGCCGTCGCTTTGGCTGTGCTAGCCCGAGGACTCGGAGCTTCTTTCGTGGAGGGCGATCATTAGCTAGCGATGCTACTAGGCTTGCCAACCGTCCTCGCTTTGGCTGTGCTAGCCCGAGGCCTCGGGGCTTCTTTAGCGGAGGGCGATCATTAGATGGCGATGCTACTGGGCTTGCTGACCGTCCTCGCTTTGGCTGTGCTAGCCCGAGGCCTCGGGGCTTCTTTAGCGGAGGGCGATCATTAGATGGCGATGCTACTGGGCTTGCTGACCGCCGTCGCTTTTGTCTTTGCTTTGGCCGTGCTAGCCCGAGGACTCGGAGCTTCTTTCGCGGAGGGCGATCATTAGATGGCGATGCTACTGGGCTTGCTGACCGCCGTCGCTTTTGTCTTTGCTTTGGCCGTGCCAGCCCGAGGCCTCGGGGCTTCTTTAGCGGAGGGCGATCATTAGCTAGCGATGCTACTGGGCTTGCTGACCGCCCCCGCTTTTGTTGTTCCCTCTCCTTTAACGGACGGATATCATTTTCTAGCAATGCTGCTAAAGTTTCGTGTTGCAATCCCGAAATTTTTGGACTCTCTCGTGGAGGATCGGGCTGAATCATAAAAAATCGCTTCCAGAACGGTTGATGACCACTTTCATCAGAACGAAACCCCTCACAATCCTCAGGCACACCATTGGATAACTCCGCGCCGTTTTTACTATACTCAACTAATGTTGCAGGGTTCATCGCTTTTTCAGGGGCTTAGACTTCATTAGTTCCTAAGTTCTGAGAAGTATGGCCAATACCATCGCGGTCCTGCCAGCTATTATATCTATTCGTTAGCGGGCTATTACTGTAGACTTTCTCAATCTATTTGATATGCATTCCTTGGCACGTATTGGACTACCCTTGCAAAGCGCCGGATTCCGGCCTTCAGACATTAAGAACATAGCGTCCAACTTCGATCTAAAGCTGCAGTTCTACTGGTATCGTGACCTTTTCCCGCCGACCTGCTCACCCTGCCAACCCCTTCCATCGCGTTATTGCTTATTACATGGACCGAGAAACACGTAGTCATAGGCAAAAAATGGAAGATAAGCGGGTGCATGGCTATCTTTAAGCCAAAAATCTAACCTGCGGATGTAGAGCTTAGAACATTATGAAACATGGCCAACCGTCACAGCCTATTCCGCGATGCACATGGGCATATGAAGACAAACTGGTCGTTATCTTGTCCTTGGGATCTCCGGGCTGCCAATTAGCACTGCCCACAGCAGGGAACTACGGAATGCTTCTAGCTATGGTCTTGCCGTAAGCTTCATTCTCGCCGATGCAGCCCGTTCCCTATGTCTCCTAGGTCAGCGGCACGAGAACCCATTTCCAGCTAACGTTCATGAGTGTTGTCTTATAGATTTGCAGCCGCACGTTAAGATGATGCACCAAACTTGACCTTACCAGAATGTGCCCCCTGATGCGTTCGAAATAGCCACACTACCGGCAAACAATAAGCACTAGCTAGGATTGAATCTAAGCTTGCCTTCGCTCGACTACTCGAGCACGGAGATTGCCAATTGCCCTAGAGACTAGTGCATCCCGGCCTATTGCATATAAGACAAATAGTGTAGATTTGTTTTAACTGTTAACGACGGCGGACAAACGTTGCCCGCACAGCCTGAGCGGGACGTGCTGGGGCCATAAGGCGATAGATAGTACAGCTCCTTCTCCAGAAGGCCGCCAGGGTCGTTGCACAACAAGGCGAAGAGTTCTTCGACGCTTTACAATACGAGCGGTATCACTTCAGGGCTATACGGCGATAATGCAGCTTCTTACCGAGAAGAGCGCGAAGGACATTTCTTAAGTCCTATTGTTTAAAGTTTAGGCAGTCATCAAGTACTTTCGTACGGATATTAGCAGGAACCATGTAATACATCCCTCCATGGGGACCCCGCCACCAACATAGCCCGGCGCTACAACTAGCGCCGGGGCACTCCAGAAGTGAGTGTACTTGCCCTTAGAGTGCAATTTCATTAAAGCCCGTATCTCCGAGCGTTGCGAACAGTTTCATGAGTTAAAAATTGGTTACATTCTCCCGCGGCCTCCTCTTAAATTTGGGGGAATATCTGGTTCTATAGATAATCATGATACTAATGATGAGTTCCTTTTCTCTCGCCTAAGATCAGACTGCTTACTGACCTGCTGATCCACTTCTGCCTAGTCGATGCTAGCCCCCATGGAACGCCTGGGTGTGTCTAATCACTGTCGCTGCGCCTAGGGCGGGTTTTAGGGTAACTCTATCTACAGAACGTCATGCACACCGGCGCAGCACGGCGCCTGACAGATTTCCCAACTGTCAGATAGCGGTGTGCTCTACATATATGCTATATAAACTAGTCTTCCCAGAAATACTTGTCTCCGAGATCCAAGAAGGTCATTCTGATTCGTGCATAGGCGAAGTCAGATATGGCTCTCTCCAATCTGGATGAAGGCATTCTCCTCTTGCCTCTATCCACTGCTTGATACCTTTGACAAAGAAGCCACTAGTCCATTCGTCTTCCACAGCTCCATGCCGAGGCATGCCGAGTTTGAAACTCTGGCTTATGCAGCAAGCGCCCTGGTGATATCGCCACTGGAAACACGACCTCCCCCGCCGGAACACGCCGCCGACGTCCTCCCTGATCCGCTTCTCGTATTTCTCTTGGAGATAGTGGTCTTTTTTAATGTCGTCAGACAGTGCTAAATACTCGTCTTCCGGTATCATGAGTTTATCGGCTTCGCAAACCTTAGCGCATGCTGTAGGTGACTTATGTGCTTCCTTCTCTACTATAGTCTTTTCACGCTCAAGCTTCTGCCGACTTTTCTCTGTGTCACCGGCATTCTCCTGATCTACTTGATGGGGGCCGATGAAGCACGTGTCGTCTGAAAGATTATCCCAGTCCTGGCGGAACTGCGTTAGAGAGGGTGCCATGAAAGCTTCGTAAATGTCCTTAATAAGTAGGGTACTCTAAGCTTAGTCAGTATGAGATGTAACACGATGATCTTATGCGCCAGTACCTTGTTCTTCCTCGTTTGCTCAAATTGCCAGAGCGTACTGACTTCTTCCGGGCTCACATGGTGCATACTGATAATAGGCTCACACCATTGTCCATGGCCATATGGTATGCTCAAGGGTCGTTCGCCGTTGAACATAGGATGGACTTGCTGGACATTAGTGCCAACTTCGCTAGCCGCCTTGGCAAACAAAAAATCTCCGCAGCATACGCCTCCGGCGCGTTCGTCGTATTTAGTAGCGAGATCTGTAATATTATTGGCCATGGTCTTCATGAGCTCGCCGGAGACGACGTAGCCGCTGCCTCCATGCGCAAAGGGGAACTCGTTCAGGAGCGCAACGTTGCCGAGGTATTGAGGGCCCTTTGGTGCCTCCTCACGAAGCCATTGGACCATGTTGGACCACACGATATAGGTATCTGCCTCAGCAAACACGTACCAGTCCATGCCCGGACGCCTCTGCCACACACGGTCGGCTATATTCAGGAACTTATACTTGTCAAGGTCCCAGCCTCCGCTCATCTCCGCGGCGCAATAATGCTGAGGAATAGGGCAGAATTTCTGCGCCTTATATAGTTCGAATTCGGGATACTGGTTCATAAGAGTTGGGCTAACGCGGTCGAGGGCGTCGTATAGATGGTATTTGCCTATCTGTTGTTCCTACGGATACATCAGTCGGATATCTATTATAAACGCTTTGGGTGTACCTACAAGATCGGAGAAAATAAGAAAGTCAGGGAGGCAAGACATTGTCGTGAGCAACTGGGTAGGGAGCTTCTGGAAGGCCTCCGAAGCGCCCGTTTTCATAATAAACATGATATTCGTGGTGTCGGGAAAGCCCTCGCAGGGGCGGCTGAAGTTATGCTGTGCATGCACGTTATTATTGAGACCATTTTGATAGAGGGTGTTGTTATACACCTCATGGGTAGAGTATAAAGAACCGGGATCGTAGAGATCTTTTGCCTTCTTGTCGTAGGAACAGGTCAACGGATGACTGTTGAGCTCCCAGAGGGTTACCGTAAGCAGCGTTGTCAGCGCCAGCAGGAGCGCTACCCTGAGGCTGTGCGTAGGGTTGATCATCGCATTGACGTCAGGCAAAGTGGCCTATAATGAGGGGGCAAGAAGTAGCTGTGCTATAATTATGGAAAGAGAAACCGGATAGTGTGGTTTCCCGTACTACTGGTATGATCGGCAAATCGACGGATGAAAAGCTGCTGTTCGTTGCGGAGCCACCTCAATGCACGCAAAGCAAAGGAGGGGAGCAAGGGGCGCGTAAAAGAAATCATGAATCCGACCCGTCCCAAGGCCGCGTTCGACCGCTCCAGCTGCTTCCAAAAGGCTAGGCAATTGTGATTAGCATAGTATTCAAGGCCATGGAACCACAATCATCCGCACCGTCGGGGCTGGAAGTCCTCGTCGTCGGAGCGGCCGTGGTAAATTGCTTGGGTAGATAGCAGACTAAACAATCCATGGCCATCTACGGCCTCCCCTTGTTCTTTCAATCACGAATCGCCTTCGCCATTCCCTTGACCTAAAGCCAGTTTGTATCATAGATGAACATGATTCTAGACTAGCCTTGAAGTGACCTAGTCTGCTTTGCTTAAATGAGTCGACGAAGCATCATACGCGCACCCGTTTGTACCCCTGGAGTCGATGCGCATAGATACTGGGCTCGAAACGAAGCGGCTCTCTAGATTGTCTCCGTGATCTACGTCGTCTTTGATGCATCCGCCAAGTTCAGGTATTCGACTGCCCGTGGCTCCTCGTCCGTTACATTCGGGACAAAGCTTGTCAGATCCGGCGAACCTGGGAATTGGGCGGCTGGATTAAAGTATGAGGAGGAAATACCACCCTTTGCAAAGGCAATCTAGAGCGCGCCATGGCTTACATCGGTACGTCACTAAATAACGGCCTATGAACTCCGAGCTTAATATAGTATTATTATTCGTGTCCCGTCTCTTCTGAACCGGTATAGTGGAAGATGGTTTATACCAACTTCGCCTCACGGCGAACGAAACGCATCGCGAAGTTAAGACCCACACGTATATAAAGATAGTACCCTATTAAAACGAGACACTACTTATAATTACTAAGCGAGCTCCTAGTGAGCATCTATTAAAGGGTCTAGGGTCAGAAGCCGAAGATCACCAAGGACGTATCTACCTATCGTAGATCTCACTACGTAATAGACTTTACGAACGACCCGGAGTTTATCGAGCGGTCTAAAATCTAGGCATAGATGAAAGAAAGTTAGACTAGATTAGTAAGATATATAACACTTTATAGGATAGGCGACTTCGGGTGGGTTCCGGACGTACTTTACGACTGGCTTTTGCTAACTATTATAGTAAATCCTAGTTCGCGATCTAATTTATATACTATATCCGCCACGAATTTCCCACGACTTATATATTTTAGGTATATAGGGCTGGCTAGGATATATTTATAGCATCCTGCCGTGTGATTGCTGAGATATTTCTACGAACGGCGGCGGACTATATAAAGGTTAACCTTTTTATGTTAGTGCGCGATTAGTTACAAAATATCGATAGTAACCCCTTTTTAATAGTTATCGACAAGGCTAAAATTATTAGTGTTTAACGACAAGGGTATCGTACCTACCAAAATGCGATCACGGTAATGTACTAACTCTAACACGGAGTAGAACTATAGCTAAGAAGCTCGTCGAAAACGGCAAGTAGATCTAGCAGGTACTAATCATAGAGCGCGCCCAGACGCTCTAGCTTTTGCGAAGGAGACTAGGAAGCAAAGACAACTAAAGTAACGCGAGAGACGTAGTCCAAAGGACCCCGAGGCGTCGAGGTGCTTCAGTGCGTTATCGAGCAACTTACGGAGATAGGCGATAAGCCAATTTCAGCTCTGTTAGTGGTGATACTTTCTGGGACCTAAAAGCACTGCGCAGCCGCCCCACCTATCTAATTTGGATGCTTCTCGACGTTTACAAGGCGGACGCAGAATGTAGACTACGCTGTACTTCCCAGGTCATACTATATCGCTCAATAAGGAATAGGTGCTCTACGATTAGTACAGTATGACATGGAGCAAAGAGAACGCAGCCAGTTGGCTCCTTAACCATGTCTGCAAACAGAGTCGTTCCGCGCAGGCTCAGTGAACAAACGGCGCGAGATAAGGCACGTCTTTGCTTCGATCGTCGTAACCGCACAAACGGCGGGCGAGGAAGAGTGTTAGAGAGTAGACTTTATGCTACGCCATGCCCACAAGGGTGATTTGGTCTGGGAGGATGTGGTAGGCCTGCAGCTAGACGAACCACGGAAACCAGAAGGCACGATGCCTGCTGTTTCGTACTTGGTGACACCGGTATGATCTTTCTAATGCTTGAGATTATCGTAGACACGACAACACCTACCTTAAGCACATGATCAGTTGGGGCTTTGCGTTATGTTGATGTAAGAAAATTATATTTCAGGGAAAATAAACTTTTGAAGTATAAGGCGACACAACAGGCATTGGAGAACGAGCAAACGCACCCCTCCACTTCTTAACCTTCTTTTGATACTGCTCTTCCTCGGAGTCCCTTCTGCTTTGATCCCCTCATCGTTGGCGATTCTTAATAATGAAACGGTTTCCATTGTGCATTGTCCCTTGACCTGAGGTTCCGGATGTAGAAGGAATCGTTGTGTTGTTGAAGTAAATAGCTGGTCTGGATGGCAGCGCATGGGTTCCACGGTCCCAGAATTCGAAAGTGTCACCGTTGTGTACTTGGGTGCCGTCTGTGGCATAAGTGTTCACAAAAACGAGTTGAGTCGGCTCGACTTGCACTGCCCCTTTGCTTCCTGGATTCTGGCTGCCATCAAAATGATGCCCATTGTGAATTGTTCCACCGTACACAGTGGTTTTGTAGTAAATGTTCGCGCCCGGGTACTCGTCTCGGATGTGTTTCAAGCGTTTACTAGCCTCCATGAACTCTTCCAAGGTCATGTCGGGTGGTGACAACGTGGGCGTGGTGTGAGGAAGTGGATCATTTCTTGTTGCGGAACGGGTGTCAGAGTTTGGCACATAATCGCCATACTGAGCACTGTCGTTACTCGTGTCTGCGTTACTTGGCGTTGGCTTTTGTGTGGTATCACTTTCGGGAGACGAGCAAGACTGGCGATGGGCAGCCCCTGTGTCGTCCAATATGCATCTCATCGCTTATGTACCTGTCTGTTGTTAGCGAGATTGTTGAACGTATTGTAGAGGCGGACCTTGATGTATCGGCGACTCTGTCGTTCAACTTTTGGGAGGCACAAGGGGCATGGGGAGAGAACTGACCAAAGTGATGGGGCTGTCTCCCTTTTCTATGTGCCTACTACTGAGTCTCTGTGCCAGACTCGTGACGAGAAGCGAAGAGCCGCAATTTTGGTTTGTGCGGTGCAGTGGTGGGGCTAGCCTCCAACTACGATGACGCATTCCGCCCCAATAGAGGGATGTGTTCACACCGACAATTACGAAAGGCGCAGTCAAGCTGAATGCACGGCTAGATCTGCAGCATGACTTGAGCGTACATCTCCATCCCGCTCTGTCGCCTTGCTGCTCCCATCCTCCTGATACCACAGACGTAATCAAGGAAGCCGCAGTGCATTGCATGAGCATACGTGGCAGCCCTTACGCGGTGCGGTGTCTGACGGGTGGCTAGGAGCATTCATCACAACTACCGTGAGACCTAAGTGAGGATTTTATCCCAGCCGTGAACACCATGTTTGCATGCAGCTAGACATCATGGTGAGCCTGAAGAATTTCGCCGGGGGTGGTCGTATTAACGGCAATAGGGACTGGATCGCTTCCAGACCAATCCTGTCGTCTCCATTAAGACCGGGGGCGAGCTTCCCACGAACTAGTGTCAGCTCGAGAACGTAGCGTACTACGATGCCCTGGGTCTGAGCCACGAGCCCCTCGTTGGGATGAATGCAGCTTGGAAGAAGAACTGCTGAGGCATACAATTAAGGTGCAATGTGATCACTGGCCTCCGGTGGCGTTGGGAATATGGCACGATGCTTTCCTTCGACGATTGTCCATAGTTGCCTCGAAAACGGTAAAATTCTCCAAATGGGAGACGTACCCTGATTATCGCGGTCAATGCATTACAACCTATCGGAAATTTGGGCCTGAGCATGCGACGTGTATGCAGGAGGGGCCGCGGTTGATCTGTTACGGTCAAGATCAAGCTAGTGGCAGGATTCATAAGACACACAGCTGGGGTGGAGGCAGATGCACAAGGCTAGCCGGCGACTGCTGGCGACGGATCAGGGGCTGAAATAGCTTCCGCGGATAGTGTTATTCTGGGGCAAAGGAGCTAGTCACACGAATACAGAACCACGGCTTTAACGCGTGGAGCGTCGGCAATGAGTGGTGACGAGCCTCGTCTAAACTGGATGACGTGGACATGGTGCGAAGTGTAACAAGGCGGACTGACAGAGCCTGGTTGACCATGCGGTCAACAGATACGGCGCGGACTGCGTTGAGCGGTCAGCCACTTCCGCGGCGGACCTAGCTGGGCCACCCTGCCTTCACCGGTGCCCGTCTGTGCACTTTGGGCCGTGACGACTGCTGTCACTCTTTCTGCGACTGTAGACCGTTGTGGAGCCCCCGCAGCCTGCTAATCTGGGCTGAAGGGGCGTGCCCAACTATTGTTTTCCCTCAGGAGCGTCTGCGGCTGCAAGACGCCCGCTCGGCCTCATAGCAAGGACCGGCGGGTTAAGCGCTACGACCCTGCTCTGCGGCGGCGGCAACGCTATCGCATCCCGGGCGGGGCTGGCACGCTCAATGCTTCGTGTTCTGGCTCAGGCGGTGAACACGTGCAAGGCCCGGGTCCGCGATGCAGAGCCTGAACAGAAGTGTCCTGGCATCTCGCCTGATGGCGCACACGGCATTCTGACGATGACTCAACCTGTAACCCAGGACAATCCGCGCGCTCATGAAGCATACAAGACCAGTGATGCATGACAAGCCAGGGTACCCTTGTGCTGGTCAGATTTCATGGCGCTGTATTGCATTGCGTGGCGAGGGCCGCTAGAGCCCAGTACGGACATTGACTCCGTCTTCTCGTCGCTACTGAGATTCTGCTATTTTCCAATCCCCTGGATTTCAACGGCGTACTTACCGAATGACTTGGCTGGCTTCCGGGCCAGGGTCGGGACGCCACTTGATCTCGATGCTTGTCGACGCCCGTCTGAGCAGTGGAGTCGTATTTTGGGAACTTTTGGTCGCAATCCTCTGCTACATGGCCTGGGAACTCACAACTATTAACGGTTCCGGACCTGGTGTGGCCACTTGGCGCTTAGATACCCCAGACACAAGTCCCATATACACAAATTACACGAGGCACACGTTCGCCTACGCAACACGGCTATTCCATAGCGTGCCACATACAAGCCGCGTCTTGGCATGCCGTGCGGGTGTGGCCAGTGTTGTTTCCACGACGGTCCGCGTTCTCCGCATACCAATAGGCCACCATGAGTGGAATATATTCGCAGACCCATGGCCTGTCGACATTGATCGATGGGCATTCCCAGGGGATGCTCGCGCTTGACGCCCATGGGGACCTGCAGAGAGCAGGGCATGGTATGAGTCATGTGCTGGTGGTGCTGGTAAGGTAAGAGGATGAAGCTCAGGTGTCATTGTGAACTGTGTGACTGTTGGTACATTGGAGCACAAGACTCTCCACCATACGATGGTAAGGCTCTAGCGGAAATTTGCGGCGCAGTGGTGACAGGGAAGCGGCGATGGGGTGTGCGATGACTAGCGCAGGTTCTGCTACTACTGACAATGGGAGGCAGCGATAGCTTGATGATACCGCAGTCGAATCAGGCCATTCACTCCAAACGAATGAAAGAACACATAATGTCGTGCTGGTACGCCATAGATCATAGCACGGAGCTCTTTAACTACGAGTAACGTCGTCCGCCTCGCGAACCTCGGTGCTGGACCCTGCGAAGCGACGTCTCGCTTGTAGCGCTCGCGTTCTCTCAGTATCCTTGGTTTGTAGCGCCTGTCGGCGGCGCCCAGGTATTCATAGGTGAGCTTGGTTGAACATGCGATGGCTCTGAACGGCGGTTTGGGAACGACCAGGCTGCCCTGGCGTACACTGCGCTAATCCAAATGAAGAAGGGGGTGTTGGAGACGATCGCCTTCTTGCGCTGATGTGTGGACGTACATCCAGAGCTAGACCAAATGCAGGTGCGGGTCTTGGAAATAACTGGGTTGCCCTACGGGAGGTAGTGGGGGGAGCATGGGCAAGGACAAGCCGGCCACTCTGAGCACCCCTCTACGTCGGACTAGTGTAGATCTTTTCCATCACTCCCTCTTTCGTTAGGGTTAGCGCCGCTGGTCCTGATCCTCCCCACCATCCCCGTTATATTACTTACAAATGTATTCCGCCAACTGTTGTGCGGAAATCTGACAATAATGCAAGTGGGCGTTGTCGCGCAAGCCTTTCGTCCAAATGCTACCATTAAACTGCAGGCGAAGGATTCGTCAACCGTGGAAGGCCGAGCAACAAGCGACGAGTCCCGCATGACTCTCATCGGGCACACCTTTCTTATGCCTGCACCTGAAAGCCTATGAAATAGCAAACTGTGTGGCGAAATCTCCGACCGTGGAGCCATGGTTGGCGTATGTCTGGCTTTCACCGTTTTCGAGGATCGAGCTGGTGTCACTAGGGCGAACACGTAGTAGAAAAGCGAGGGACGGAGACCGACAACAAAAAGCAACATCAGTGAAGGCTGCGCCGATGGACCAAGAGAAGAAGCGCCTAGCTGATCGAGTCTCCGTTCTATTAGCGGGACAATTAGTAGCTCTCGATAGAATTTACCCGCTCAGTTCTAATCCAACTTCTTTGCGTCTCGATTCTCCGCAACATCCTAACTGTTGTCCCACACCCATACAAGCACTGGAGCGCCCGCTACGGCCAGCGACAACCCATAATGACGAGCGCGCTGGCGAACTGATGTGCAGCATACGATAAGTCCCAAGCCTGCATTCCTCAGCATCGAACACATGCACGTGCCAGGTGTCCATTCGGTAGTGGAGATACTAGTCAACGCCTCGCGCTTGAGCGTGGGTATCTGCTTTAGGGTCTGCCTTGCCAGTCTCGGTGTGATACACCTCACGATCGCGCCCATAGGCGTGTGTGAGAGGTATGCAGACCCAAGATATAAGGCGAGTCGCTTTGATAGAGCCTAGACATACTGCATATTAGTAAAGAACCAAGCCGCCTTGCGGCTCGCTTCCGCAAAGAATGGATAGATGGTGTGGCGATATCATGCGCCGCAACGGGCCAGTCGGAGAAATCGTTTCCTTGTGAGCTAGGCTACACCCACCCGTCCTCGGGAATGTGTCAACCTTGGACCCGGGGAATGCAGCCCTCCTTCCCCGCTAGGCAAAACAGAGTTGATCATGCATGGGAGGAAGACTGACTATTGGCAGCTAGCTGTGTAGCGTACTCGTGATCTACAACAAGTTCGAGGGTATCCGATACCTCTTCGAGCCCGGTAACTGTAAGCGTTAAGCCGTTCTAGGACTGATATGTGTTTAGCGGGGTACCTTGTAGTGTGGGTCGACTTCTGCTTTTCCGACCCCCGAATTGGCCCATGCCGACTGGGCTACAGAGGCGCCATGTAATTACGGCGTGGCCGTGCACTTCGCTTGGACCAGAACGGGCCATCCAGAACGGGCCATCCAGAACGGGCCATCCAGAACGGGCCATCCAGAACGGGCCATCCAGAACGGGCCATCCAGAACTGGCCTTCCAGCAAATGGCTAAACGGAAGGAGCTATGCATTAACAAGTACTCTGTCGAGATCTGACTCAGCACCTTTCCCCACCTCATTTCTGTGCTTGAACGCTTAGTAGATGCATAGCGGTACTGCACCAGCACTGGTATGAATCACGTATTTGGAGCCGACAGATTCGACCTTTGTCGGCGAAGATGATTGATTTGGTTTTCTCCGTGGCTAGGAATGGCTTTGTAATATCGAGGACATCTCTACTCTCAGTGGCAAAACTGCACTTGAACAAGAAAGACAAGGATACCAATATTTTGGCTCAAGGTAATGCATGAGTACGTAGAGATCGCACGTAAAAAAGTGATTCGAAGTTTGTGTGTTCATCTTTTAGCCGGAAGTCAAAGTCGCCAGCGTAGCCCTGAGCGTTACTGCCAAGGACAACAATTTTCGGCTTATCAGCATGGCCAATCGGCATTGGGGCCTTGCAGAGTGTGGCCAGCGCGTTTTGCTCCTCATGAGGTAGTTCCGCTTTCCGCCGCCAATACGCAAGTCGCTCAACGACAGCACCACGTTGCCGTGTCCGCTTGCTGAAACGAACAGCTGTGCCCGGATTGAGGGCAAGTCGTGACTCGGATGCTCGAACATGCGACGCATCGTCTTTGAAGCTTTGGATACAGCTCATGATATTACAACTTCTGCTCCGCAACCTTTTTGAGTATGTGGACGCAGGAAAAACAGTTTGAGGCGCTTGTGGTTTGGAATGATCCAATTTCTGATCAGAGTCGTGTTGGACATGATTCGCTAATGCGCGCAGCGTCCTCGCAAGACGCTCGGCATCGATTTCTCCAAATCCATCAGCGTCATGCTCCAGGTATGCACCCGTCCGTGGTAAGCAGTCGCGTGTCCGCGATTCATAGCAGGCTGCCCTGACCTGTCTGGCCGTTCTCGACCGGAGATGCCAAGCACGGTCGTAAGAAGGCTTGGGAATCATCCTCATCCATCAATGGACAAACAATGTGGTACATTCAAAGTTCACAGGTTCGAATCGGCTCTATCATGGCCGAGGAACGCATTGACGGACTTCACTTGCTTGGTCCTTGACTCAATCGAGCCGCACTCTGAGTCATGCTCACTGTCGCTGGTTCAATGAAAAACGTTTTCATGGGTCAGCAGGTTGGACAGGCATGGAACTAATGACTTGGTGGATGTTGAACACCAAGTATTCCCTCGCTCGTTGCTTCCTACTTCTATCCGACATTGTTCTGTTCCCCGCTTCCCCTGGCCTTGAATTACCAGCCCAGTTCCTGAGCGATAGTTCCCCATCCTTCACCTACTCTGGAATCTCCTACTTCTCTGCTTGATTGATAGCACCGTCCAGACAGCTCAAGACTCAGGAAACGTCTAGTGCCTAAGAGCGACATGGTCACCACGACCAGTGACCCAAGTCAACGGTCAGGAGCTAAGGCGCGGACCGTCAAATGGCAGGAGCTCGATGTATGGCAGCGCGAGCGCGCAGGCGACGATGGGTACATCCTCGGTGGCTATCGACTGGCAAAAGCAGACTATGCAGAGATTTTGACCAGCCTAACCTTTCTGCACAACGAGAGTTGCAATATATACACTCATCTAATCGGGGCTTTCCTCATACCGCTCGTCGCGACAGTCTTCCTGCGGTATCTAGGTGCTCCTCAATTCCTCAATACCTCGTACATGGACTATGCCATGTTTGGAGTCTACTTCTGGTGCGCCGAGGCCTGTTTGGTCCTGAGCACACTATACCACCTCATGCAGCCGCATTCGTATCGCGTGGAAGTATTCTGGCATGGTATGGATCTTCTCGGTATAGTCATTGTGACAATGGGCACATTCGCATCCGGTATCTACTACATCTTCTTTTGTGAAGCGAGCTTGCAAAGGTTGCACTGGGCTATTGTCAGTATCTCCCGAGTAACCAATACTACACACTCGACCACAGTTCTAGTGACGTGCTAAATTGTAATTCTAGGTTTTCATCACGGGCACCATCACCGGTGCTCTTATCTCGAATCCCCTGCTCAAGACACCGCGCTGGCGCAGACTCAAGGTGACTGCCTTTATTGTTTTTGGATCTTCATCGTTCATACCTTTGCTGCATGGGGTCCACCGGTACGGGCTCGCGTACATGCTCCAATACGCGGGGATGAAGCGGTACCTTGTCGAGCTCGCCTACTATGGCACCGGAGTCGGCTTTTACGCGGTATGTCTGCACGCTCGCCGCCCATCCCCTTCTCTAGAGGAATATTCCCTGACAAACATCTGCAGTTCCGAGTGCCGGAGCGTTGGGCGCCGGGTCAATTTGATTTCTGGGGCAGCTCGCACCAGATATTTCATGTCGCCATCGTATGCGCAATGTACACCCACGTAACGGCTCTGCTGCACGGATTTACATATGCTCACACTATGGATGTATGCCAGTTCCAGGGGGTTCGTTAACTTTGTTGTGGTTATATTGAAGGCTAGACTTGCCCAAAGAGGCATGGATATCTACCTTCGTCATGTTTGAAGGTGATTGATATACATTTCCAGGTCCGCTCGTTGTGTGACTCGTGAATGTAGACGGAAATTCTGTGCGATATACCTTGAACGCCTCCGGAGGTTCCTGGTATACTTGTCTTTCTAGAATCACGACTGAACTAGTCGCTCATCTGTACGAAGTGTTAGCTAGCTTAGCTTAGCTACTAAGGCGATACAGTACCGAAGGTGCCCTCCTTCCCGGCCCAACCAGCACAGGGTAGGAGGCAGGGCCACATTGGCCCCAACCAAGGGCCTCTGGGCAAGGGCATCTCGGTGGCATCATTGTTTGTATTTAGATTAGTGAGAGAGGGCATCCCTCCACTTAGCGTCATCATCTTACGGTGAACAATATGTAAGGAGAATTTGAACTCACTAGACTTATACTATAGGACCTAGAAAGGGCGCGTGCGAAGCTTCATACCTAGCTTCGCACGCGACTCCTCCTACAGATCTTCTTGAGAATACCTGCCCTTGGATCTTCAAGATGCCGCAGAACGCGCACGAGGCTCGCGCATAGTCGAAAACATTAAGACTCCAATCTCTAACTATCAGAACAGCTCACTAACACCTTTGCGTAATGCCTTAGATCAGTTAACGAAGGGAGCTATATCAGTGATGCATTAGGCAGCCCTCTTATAAGCGAAAACTAAGTCGCTACGTACGGCAAATAAGGCATTATACAAGCGCCGGAAGATCAAAAGAAGCTATCTATAGCATAAAGACACCCTTATTATGCAAAATGGAAATTTATAATTGATCAAAAGGAGAACGATGAACAGATTCAGGAAGAAAAGCGGACGAAGAGGCGCCCTCAGCCACTAGGTAGCCTGAAGCCTGCACGCTGTCGCAGACGCGCAAAAACAGGTCACGGCATACGAAGCTACCCAAAAGGTGTAAAGACCTATGTCTTTAATTAGTTAGTACTGTACTGTAATTTGATTGATTACGTACTTAATCGACTTTTCTATGCGCAGATAATGGGGAAGGCGCGCCGCTCGCATGGGGATGACGTTAAACCGACCTTAGATCTACGTACCCTATAGCTAGTCTGACCCGAATATCACACGCGCTAACCGTGTCGTTGGTCTGCAGCCGGCAAGCCGCGGATTGTGTGGAAGAGATGGATGTTTTTGAGTCAGGAAAGCCAGGATACAACTCAGGGTAAGCTCTGCAGTCGTCCAGGCAGATTGGTGGCGGACGAGCTTGTGCAGCTTGCGCCAGGGTCGCTGGGAGGAAAATGATGCTAGCCTTTTGCGCGACATTTGAGGCGTGGGCAGCCCAGGAACTCAGTAGTGTACGTTGACACGATGTTTCCGGATACGAAGGTATCATGTTTGAACGCCCAAATGCGCATGAAGAGCTTGAGAGACGTGCCAATCTGGACCTATATCCCTAACGGCAGCTTACAGCCGCGCACGGGCCGGCGGTGGCAGGTTCCAGCCAGCTTCGGGGTAGTATATTGTGTGCCTTATATGCTGTGCTAAATGAAACCTATCCCAGTAACTAGGAAGCGAACTCGCGAATGTGATACCACTGAGGGATCTTTAAGTCTGAGACTATGAAGGAGTTCCGGACCTTACCCAGACGATCAGCTCCGAGCAAGCGAGGGTGCCCCCCTCTTGAGCTGATGGCCTATGCGCCTGATGGTTCCTATAAGGTCGCAGAGCTTGGCGACACAAGAAGGACCACTGAAGGTCTCTCCGAGACCTTAGTTGTCTGGAAACCAAGCTTCGTGCCGCTCGCCCATCTCAACGAGACAGCATTGGCGATACTCAGAGACACCGGAAGCTCTGTCGTGGCCAAAGCCGCAAAAGAGCTCCTCGTGAAGGCCACGAAGCCATTCACCTCGGGCTGCGTCTTGTCCCCGGGAGACTATTATCCGGTCAACAAGCTCGGCGGCACCCGCGCCGCCAAAGACGCAAGTATTGAGGCATTCGTTCACTGGTCCCCGACTTTCGTACCCACCGAAGAGATTGATGAGCCAGGGGATTATGAAGGAGCTGTGACTGGCTGACTACAAGCTGAAGCTGGTCTGCGCAAGTGTGACGTTCGGGTCTGCACTGGTTACCGGGTAGAAAGATCAGAAGTTGTTTTGTTAAAGAACACCAGGGTGTCAGTAGTCGAGCAGTTGTCTGTGTCACAGTCGAGTGCAGTAAAGATGATCTATGCGTTGACAATTGTATTGATAGCTGACGAGCTGGGTAGAGACTAACTATGGTGAGGCGTGGCTTCCTATATACTAAGGTGATCACTGGTGATCATGGCTCAAGTGAGGGTGATCAAATGCAGTTGATCATCATGGTCATGGTGTTGCTCGTAGTGATCAGTGTGATTAATACGTGCTTGGTGGAAGAAGTGGGTCATGCGTACATGTCACATGCGGGACGCATGACGGCGCATGCAGTCGCATGTTGGGTCGTAACAGCAAGCAAATACGAACTTGGTAATGGAATAGCTAACTGAGTGCTTCACAAAAGATCGGGAGAATCGAGTTCTGTGATACCTATGTTGCGCCGAAATCCGCTGACCCGTTTTCTCCCTGGGCGGACAAGAAATCGTGGACTTTGAGACGAATCTCATGTCACTGCGTGCGTGCTTTCGAAAGAGGCTCGCGAGCATCGCTCAAGTTTTCAATCTGTCCCTAATGCGGTGGGATATTATATCAACCACTGCCACATCGTATCAACCCTAATTACGCGCACACACCCTCGTCCTCGCAGCTACACAAGAATAGCCGACCTTACCGTGTCATTATGTTATATAATGTATGAATTAATTCACCGTCTTCTTATAACATCGGACTATGCGATAATTTCCTTCATATTATTCGGAGGGTATATAGTGGTTGTTATAAGCACGCAGAGGTTCTTGATTGAGATAGGTAGTTATGTTTAACTAAGTATCACAATATAAGGCTGTATTCACAATCACGACCGCCGCGCCCGGGAGTTCAGTTTCGGTTTCCATCGAACGGCGAGGTCGAACCTCATTACTAGCGCTGCCCGATATAGCGTTCCTCGGCCTCTTCTTTGGCTAATCCATGGCGTGACTGTCCCACCGCTCAATCGACTCCATTCTCGTGAGCTTCTACTGCCTTAACGTCACCCTCAGTGACCGCTGGTAGTATAAGGTTAGTGTTATCTAACGCTTCGGACATAGCCGTCTCGCTAGGCGTCTCTCGCACCAGGTCTTATAAGCAAACTTCAAAGTTAATCGGCTCACAAGACACTTAATTTAGCTTAGTTTTGACCCGAATTTCAGCTTTAGTTAGTCCCTAAGCGGCGTAGTACCTAGCGCTATAAGGAGAGCTTAAGGCTTTGTTTCAACCACCCTACAGCCTACAGAACAGACTAGCCAAAGTCGAACATTAGGCTAACACTATAGTTGAATTGTAAGGCAGACTTAGATAGCTTAGTAATAGTAAAAGCTTCTCCTTATAAGCGTCGTAGGTTATTAAGCCGATCGCGTGGTATAGAGGAAGAAGACGACGATAAAGCTCGAGGCAGCGACCGCGTGTTACGACCTGGTCCCTCGTAACCCCCTGTAAGCAGTTAGTACGCTTGCATTGATCCCTCGTCATTCGATCAGTGCCTGATCTTTTGCCCATGGCGCAACGGCTTAGGCGTAGCCGCCGGTACAGCAAGCAACGTTAGTCACCAAGGCCCAGAGCCTGGACGGGCTACAATAGTTTGAGATGCGGCGGGTACTGTATACTGTACACGCAGGAAGATGAACGAAAGAACGGTGCCGATGCAGGTCCAGTATGTGTCACTATATTACTTGTTGCCACTTGTTGGACCATAGGACGCCCGCACCAGGCCGGTCTGCCGTGCCTTATAACAAACAGGCGGTTATCCATTCTGGTACTGTAATGCTAGACTATAAAATTAGCGAAGGCGCTATGGCGACTCCGACCATGCAGTAAGCCAACATTTGAGACAGTGCCGTGTCTCTTCGTCGGATTGGCTCCGGCCTTGATGTCTACTTCCAACACGTTTCCACTGCCCAGGTGAGTTCCTTGACCGATTCTCTATTCATCCAGTCATGGCCATTGTTCTATTGGCATACAAATGCAGGCACTTGTGTACTAACGATGCGCGGGCCGAATTCGGTTAACGCTGGCCTACGAAATGGATGTTGCTCGAGCGGGGCCTGCTGCCAGATTGAGAACAGTCGCTGTCATACAAAGCGGACACTGGACCTGGACAACCCAGTCACCGAGCCGCGGCTATTACTCAACAATCAGCGAACCCTTCTTCATAGTTGTGATATTTCGGGACAATGAGAGCATTCGGTAGATACATGACAATCCTGTTCTTCGTCGCCGTCGCAGTTCAGAAGGCGCATCTCCAGACGTACGCAGAACCCCCGCCTTGCGCTGTGAGTATCCCAGACCATTACAAAAGCGCGTAACTTACGTGACCGACAAGATTGGTTGCACAACCACTGGGCTGTCAGACAGTACCTGCGAAGAGTCGGACTTGGAATGCCAATGTACCTCTGACGCGTTTCGCGAAAAGGTTGCGGAATGCGTCAGAAGTCGTTGTACTGTGGTAGAGGCTCTCGGTATGTCTGAGCGAAAACGAGATATGCTGGCGGCTGACAGAGGCTCGGCCAAGCTGCGAAGAATGAATCCTCGGCGCGTTGCAACATCCCCATGCGAGATCGCTCTGGGGAACTTGTTGTGGTCTCTTACACGATGGCCAGTCTCGCGGTGGCTTTCGTCCTTTGCCGAATACTCTGCAGAATCTACATCTCTGAGCCACGCCTCGGACTAGATGACTGGCTGATCTTCATTACCACAGTCTCTATGGTACCTGGCGCCGTCATCAACGTTTGTTTTTTAGCCTCTCACGGGCTCGGAAAGGACATATGGACATTGCAGCCCGACAGCGTCACCAAGACTCTAAAGTATTTTCACATAATGGCATGCCTGTACTTCCTGGAGACAGCGTTGATAAAACTGTCAATGATCGGCTTCTACTTGCGTATTTTCCCATCGACTTCGAGGACAGTCACGCGGTTCTTATGGGGTACCTTTGTCTTCACAAGCCTCTGGGGCGCGGCATTTCTCCTCGTCGGTGTTTTCCAGTGCACGCCCGTCGAATATTTCTGGACACAGTGGAGAGATCCGGAAACCGGAGTGTGCCTCGATGCTAACGTTATAGCGTGGACGAACGCAGCGAGCAACATAGCCCTTGATTTGTGGCTGCTGGCCCTCCCAACGTTTCAACTACGCAAGCTGCGCCTCCCCTCCTGGAAGCAGAAGGTGAAGTTGAGTGTTATGTTCTTTTTTGGGACCTTGTGAGTACATCGCACGATATCAGAGACACTCTTTAACCCCTAGTTGGCAGCGTGACTATCGTCAGCATCCTGCGGTTGCAATCTCTGATAAGGTTTGCGACCACAACCAATTCCACGTGGGACTTTTTCGAGATCGTACTGTGGTCCACAATCGAGATCACATGCGGCATTATCTGCGTCTGCTTACCCACAATGCGACAGCTCTTCCTCGCTGGGGCCCCGAAGATCAGCGCCATGCTTACGTCCAAGCAGAAGGCACCACGGTGAATATAGACAAATCTTGGATAACCTTTGTCCTCAACTTCTGATAAAGCATGATCTATGGAGAGCGCATAGATTGTTTTGTCCCCAATACAAGCTTGATGCTGGCGTAATTGTCGGAGGAGAACTGCCGACCGAGCCTTGAGTAGCAACTGAACTTTGTGTCGTGGAGTGAGGGTCGCCGTACGCCCTTCTGCGCAGCAGGAGCAAACACTACCTGTTGTACAGTTGCAGCGACTGTATCTAGACGCTTGTAGGCCCCGCTTAACAAAGCGTCTAATCGCACATGCTAGCTCAATCCGATACCTCTTCCTCTCAGGCTCACAACTATAGAAATGGATCAGCGGGAAGGGGCAGTTGGGATTGTCCTGAATTAGCTGCCACATAACATACAATCATGCCCTATTGCTCATCCTCCTCCATCGTGACGGTAAATATGCCCTGGTTTTCAAAGAATGCTCTTCAACCTTGACCTTTGGGGGCAGACGTGCCCTTCTTCTTGTCCAGAAGCCCCTCGTCATCCATCTTGTTACGATCCGCGCACCACTAGTTCAAAAAAGGGTAAAGACCACCTTTCATGCCATGTGGGTATCTTCCTCTCATTTGCTCATAGTATTGATGTTACTGGCTCCATGTATCCTCTCTTTGTTACGGCCTAGTCTCCCACAATCACCTAACCCTAGCTATTACGCCGGGAATCCACCTCAGTTGATCAATAGAAGTTGCAGGTGGTCCGTGTATTTTTTCGCAGCCTAGTGGCTTCTCGGCGACGTCGACGGCGAGGTGTATCTAATTTCGGCGGAATAGGGAGCCGGAAATGGCTCCCCCCTTCTCCCCCCAGACGAGTCGTCTCTAATTGCGCTCGAAATTGGATTCATAGGATCATGCCATGGCTCGGCGATAGCTGCGGTGTTATGTGAAGTATAATTCCTATACGGGGTTAAAAGCACCTGATTCCTTAGACAGACTAGTTCCAGACACGGAGGTCCAGACAAAATAGACACGCACCCTATAAGATCCTCCGTACGGGCCGGGATGGTATAAAGCCACTATAACCCTTAAAGCCCCATCAGTAAAGTAACGTCCGTGTTGTTGTAACGCTACTCCCTTTCCGCAATCTGAAGGAAGATATCTTACTTGAGGTGGCTAAAATTCGAAGCAATCGTCACAGTCTATCGAGATTTTGCTAGCATACTAGAAGCTAGGACGCATGGAAAGCTCGGCCGGAGAGCCTGTGGTGGCACATGTGCTACGACGTCAGCCATCTTTCTGCGTTAGCAAAACACCACGTCCAATACGACAAGTACTTCCTGTTTTTCTTGAAGCGGATCCGGATCGACACTACAGCCCTCTCAAGAGCTTGGACGCCTCTTGGATCGGGCAATATCGACGCCGGGAGGCTCGACAACTGGTCTATGTGACGAGACTACACGATGTCATCCTCTCAGACATCAGACAGTTATCTCAGTTATCACACACCAACCTAGCGCGGCCAGTTGCCGTATATAGTCACTATAATCAGTCGCATATCGCTGTCGAGTTCATTGATTTCGCACTTACGGACATAACGCCGCTCACCGAGATCGAGATATCGAGTGCGATGAAGCAGGTTTGGATTCATCCCTGATGTACTGCCGGCCATCTAATTCTCGCGAGGTCCTCACTGCTACGATCTATTTGGAGAGGAAGAACATTAGTTTCCGTTTCGATTTAGCACGTGTCGACCTGGGCGGAACTGTGAAAATGAGTGAGTACAGTACAGAGCAACAGAGCGGCTGCCAACGTATACAGCACTGGATTACAATCACGGACCCTTGACCGGTTTGGCCTCCGGAGAGCACGAGCCAGAGGTTGCAGCCTTCCTCGAGAGAACAATGTCGGCAGTCGGCCCAAAAATGCAAGATTGGGGCCCGCGCGCGTCGCATTTCCTGGCACGCCTCCAAGCTGGTCACATCCCGACTTTGAAGGTAGGGACTTTCTAAGAAAATGATATTGCCGCTGAGATGAATAGCATCCATTCCTAGCTCTGGCACCAGGCGATAGCCACCTGCAAGAGGCTTGCCGTTTTGCTGCACGACGACGGATGATATAGGAAACCTACTGATAGCCCCCCCCACCAAACAGGCCCCTGTTCGCTCTGGATTGTCGAATAAAGCATTATCACGCTTTGCGCGCATCGCGATTTCTAGGTCGAGTCACATTGCGTATTATAGATGCGTGGCCTAGAAATTGAACGGGCTCTGCCCTACACAGTAGTCACTTCTCAATTTCCTTTGCAAGTCCGGGGGAGACACACGACAAAATAATGACTCATGCACCAACATGCATATGATAGCTGGCTGACTAACACAATCGACAAAGGTCAATAGATTCAAAGAGTGCATTAGACGCTCACGCTTTTCCTTACACGCAGTGCTACACTCCGGGACTGGCAGAACTCTGCCGCCCTTTCTAATATACTCAGTAGGCTTGAAATTAGTCATGTGTTGCCTCTGCCTGCCTCTCGTGCATGAGGAGATGATGTAGAAGGATAATAGTAGGCGATCTCACACGGAGCAACAGTAAGGATGACTGGTGTGGGGATAAATTCATTTGGGAACATGGCTGTCCCAAATAGAGCGCTGCGATGTTATGATCGCCGTGGACGTGGGCCTAGCAATTTCTTTCATACAGTAGCCATCGCTAAAACAAAGATCCCGATGCTCTGCTTCGATCGGACGAGCCCGCGAGCTACCAGCAGCCGACTCTTTCACCCCCCTATCCTGTATCTTTGCAAGACGTATTGACGAGGAAGCTGCAGGGTACGTAGATCAGATGTCATCTTGGATTTACCCTTGCTTATGTTGATGAACACTAGGGTGCTGTTAGCCAAGAGACCGTCCGGGTTGTGGTTGAGTCCTTAAAAATAGATCTTAGCGCAGATGCTCATAGCTCCACCCTCGGGTATTCGCGTCACGGTATGCAGAACGCCTCGCTCCATCATACTTTGTCACTGCCTAGCTTCCCGGCTATTACTTCGCGTGCGTAGTGTTCACACGCATTAGGAGCAACGGGATGAGCGGTGATCTACTTATCACATTATGAAGACATGAAATCGTCCTAAATCGGCATCTTTCGCACTTCTGGCGCGATGCACAACATCGCGCGATTTTGCATTGCTCAGAGAACGTGGCACCAGTTGCTTTATCAGCCTGATTATATCACCACTCATCAATTGGTAGACGTCTGGCGCTCCTCACGACCCACATGATTCGTCTACCTCCGCACGTATCGACGCTATGCAGGGTGTACCACCGCAAGAGACCTGCTTAAGTGATTTCGATGTGCACGTTGATTCCGACCCAGAAAGTCCTCAGCCTAACCATGGACGATACCAGCTTACCTCGTGACCACGTTTGGCTCTTCACAGCCGGCCTGTACGATCTGTGTATGTTGGTCCCGGCATACGCGCGATGAGTGTCACATCCCGTCGGATCTCCCACGAAAGTAAAGAGGCAGCCTTCCGAACAGTTGCTTACGATACGTCTGGGACGTGCGAAGTTTCTTGAATGACTTGGTGAAAGGACTTGGAGTATGCGCCACAAGCAGCGCTTGGTTCGAACGCTGGTCAGAACTAGCCATCAAACCGCGATAACCGAGAGAATGCGGAGCATTGATTTCTACCTGATATTTTCCGCAGTCCCTGAGCCACTGTGCATCCACTTCCGGACAGCGCGTCCGATAGGAGTGGCTTCTGCTCTAATGCAGGATGTGGACCCGCTGCAATGGCCTGCAGCACTGTTTCACTGCTGTCATGGGAAACTAGGTTCTTCCTGTAGTTCCCTAGCTCAGGCACTGAGTCTTGGAAAGAACCATCTGTTGTGCGGTCGAGTAAATTGTGGACTATCGTCCGCGGCGTGAAATTACCTCCCAGCGAATTTAAATTGGGACCGAAGGGGCCGAGCCAGGGCGGTCAGGTGGCCGTGGGCTTGGGACCTCAGCCAACTGATTGCGCTTTCTGGGCATAATGGGAGCACCGGCTAGGATCAAATGCGTCTGAAGAGAGCGACCATTCATAGAGCCAGGTGCGTCGACAAGCACATTCGGGTAAGATAGGTAGCCGTGCCAAGTAGAGTTTACTTCCAAATCCGTCAACCAAGCAATACAAATGCCACGCCCACGGTAGAAACGCAACTCCTCAGATAGTCACAAACCCTTGGTATCCGACAATCAGTGACAAAGAAAGCCCTCGAGATGGCCCTGAATTCTTTCACATCATTTCCACTATTCGTCCGGCTGCCCGTGGAGATCCGACTGGCGATATGGGAACTGACATTCCACCACTTACCTCCAATGGTAGGTCACCTAGACACGGAGACGTATTGCACTCTCTCCGCTTCACAAACTGCCCCATCATCCGCTCTTGCTAGTCGCGAGAGCTATGAGGAATGGTTGCGGAGAACAACTCTTCACGAGACGCTGGGTGAGCTGAAGACGCAGCGTTTGTTCTCCCCTCGGCTCGTCATCTTGACACGACCGGAAGTTATGCTCGCGCATGATGGGATCCATCGGTGGGCTGCTATTACCCACATCGCATTCGAGATTGCTGGTGTAGACGATGTCTTCGAACTCTTCGAGTCGCTTGTTCGATTTGCATCCCTACAAACTATCATTGTAATCATTCCCTCGGGTATAATGACAGATCCGGAAATCCTAGAATGGCAAGCTAGCATTATTGAAGATCAAAGTCTCCTGCGTAGACTGTCCGCGCTAGTAGATCACGAATCGCCAGATGGGGAGTGGGGCGAAGACGATATGATTGGGTGGATTCTGCGTTATCGCCTTGGCGGCGAGGCGGCAAGAGAATTCTACAGTCGCAGGGACGGGCCCAAGGTCAAGGTACTTATCAGGCCGCCGCAGCTGAGGGGCACAGTGAGTGGCGACATCCATACGCCGTGGACTTTTACATTATTCGAGTAAGGGCTGCAGTAGGGAGGAATGCGACCGTGCGACACTACTTTATCGTAGGGTGACTTGTATAGTGAGAAAACAGGGTGGTTTGGCGCCGCCTCCGAAGCTTCAGTCAGCCAGTGTAGCGATAATACCACGCGCGAAACTGGTTAACTATCTTGATAATTGAAGACTCTTCTCCCCCACGAAAATTATCCTCCGGCGAATGGTCGTACTACGCAAAACGTTTATATGGTCTTCGGACTGTAAGATTTTCGACGAATGATTGATGCGACGTAGCGAGGACGAATATTCTCTCTCCAGGAGACCGCAAGATACGCCTTCATTGTTTGTGAGGAAGGGTCTTGAGTGCCCCTGCGCTTGACGAACGTACAATGGTATATGCCAACTTTTCTGGATCCACAGGGCCGCAGCTAAATCTACAATGAAGACCCATGACGCGCTTCACCTTGCCACAATGCCAATGCTAACGCGAAGGCCACCAGTCGCGCAGACAGGCTTCCGAAGGAGAGCTCTTAGAATTCGAGATCAGACTGACAAGAAACCCCGTCAGCAAAAAGTTTGTTAGGCCTGATGAGGTCTGCCTTACGTCGACCATTAACCTACACTAACGCACAACATTCAAATAGGGTCATGCTGTCGATAATCGCAGGCAGTAGCCGCTGGTGCTTTTGCGCGCAGACGCTATACAGGCTCGACTAGCTACGTACTCAGGAACCGTCATGCAAGTGGACTGCTGACGGTACGCATCAGACATCAATAGTCCTGCGCAGTTGCGGGTCTACCATACCTCTGCGTTATCTTCTGATTGGTGCAATGCGTTGAGCCTCAGAATCGAACGTAACTCGACATTTACGGGTGTTGGGGCGCGTGTGGAGTCGTCGATGAGCGTTCAGATTGTCTGCGCGGTTGAAGAACCCAGCCTTTCCACAGAACTCACAAATAAACTTTCGGTGGTCTTGCATATGCTTGCTAAAAGAACTTAGATAGACCCCTAATAATGTCCAGGGAGACATACTTCTTGATATGGCGGTTGAGATGTTCTTTGCGACTATAAGTCTTCCCGCATCCGGGGTACTCGCATGCGGGTCGTCTTCTCTGGGCCGAAATCCCGCGGCCATCATCACTAGGATTACAAGTAGTGCGTCCGGGAGACTGAATCCTTCTTTTTTGCTCTACCACATGTTCATGTAAAGCAGGTGTGTCTTCCGTCTGCAAGTGCTGGCCTGGGTCAGAGTCTGTGGCAATAGCATTGTCATCGCTCCAGCAAGTGCTAAGAATTTCGTCGAGCTCATGCAATGACATGATGGTGCTACTGTAGGGGAATGCCTCGACCATAGAACCCTCGCTACACGGCGATTCATCTGCGCTGGAAGGGTCTACCTGATTCAGGGGTGACAGGCTTGACATGGTTTGCTCATTTGACATTATTGAGGCTAAAGGCGTCACTACTGGTGTTGGTTGGCAATAGAATAAAGTCTTAGCCCTTTTCTATCTCATACCAAATCTATGCCGGAAGACCGAAATGGGCGTCGCGGTGGCTGCAGGGTCATGTGTAGCCGTCTATCGTTGGACTGCTGCAGCACAGCAGCTGATCCAATCTCAGCAGGCACAGGGCCCCACTGTGCTCGCAGGAACGGCCACAGACGCCTCATGTCCTTCCTCAGGTCTGCAGCCAAAAGGTGCCCTGGAATGTCTCTGTTCGCTCGTGAATGGCCTTGGCCAATATGCGGATCATGGCATAGGTGGTCTCACTGGCAAGTCTCGCGTGGGGAACGGGCTACTACGCCAGGGTTAGTGGAGCTGTCCCTGCCTGTTAGTACCCTACTAGTCGGTGACTAAAACCTTAGGTTTACCATCATCAGAGTACAGTAGGTGTTCGTTCATACGTTTTTTTTTTCGAGTGGTTCATGCGGGAGAAAACCCTTGTAAACTTATGATGCAGGCTGGCCGTGGAAATCTTTCCATTCGCTGCAACGACCGGGGCTGTTCTGTCTATGGAGTGGGCAGGACAGAGAATTGTGCGTTATTAAGCGTTGGAATAAGAGCTATTAAGACACTTCCTACGGCCGTATGCACAGGGGTGCTTGCTTGCGGATCGAAGATTGGAATACATCAATACCATGTTCGCGCCTTTAGTTGCGTTGAATCTGATCTCTACTACGTCGTGTTGTAGTTTTACTGAGCATCGAACCTGAAGAAGCTCCGGCTGAATGGACTGATAGCCTCGTCAGCTAGTTATCGATACAGGATCAGCTCATGCGTTGAGCGATGAGATACGTCGAAATCATATGGTGATCTGCCGACAGATCCTCGCTTGTGACTTAGGAGATCAAATAATCTCAACGGATGTATTCCATCCCAGTCACCCACTCGATTATCTTTGGTATCTGTGGTCATGAATGTGTACATGTTACGACCTGGTCCCTCGTAACCCCCAATAAGCAACTATTGCGCCTATATTAATCGCTCGTCATTCGATCAATGCCTGATCTTTTGTCCATGGCGCAACGGCTTAGGCGTAGCCGTTACAGCTTATCGATGTGCAGAAACAGTCTGATAGAATAGAAATATTTTAGCCATAGTGCGTGCCTAGAAATTTCCTTTGTAACCGGCACCTACTAACAGCCTCGACCCAGTTTCTACTCCCAAGTGAGAGGCGCTACAGGCAGCTTCGAGCTGCCAGGTAACGTAGTAGCAGAACTTTTACGGCGTCTCAGAAGGGGCAAACTCTTGAGTAAACAATCCCTGTGACCATTCCCGGTTGCTGATTGTCCCCATGGCAGGGTCTTGCCGCTCTTGCAAGCCTCCAAATGTTATCCTGCTGATAAAAAAGCAGGCGGCCCAGAAGCTGAACTCATTGTCGTTCAATATGTATTGTCGGAGAGACCTTTAAACAACCACTATTCCCTATCTAGAGCCATGCATAATGCACTAGGCATCGAACACCGACCGAGTCTGCAAATGGTTGGCAGAATTTTTTTGAACAGGTGGCACCAAGCGTCTCAGTTTGCTTTGGCTACTCGTCTTCTTACAATGACCCAGCGACGAATCTTCGGCACAACAAGGAGCCGCGGAAAGTGGGCCTCTGCCCAATTTGCATGCCCAATAGGCTGTCTATAAAGAACGGTCCCTCCGAAATCTTTACCAGTTTCTTCGAGCATACGTGAAAGGGTCCTCTTACGGTGATGCTTCAGTATTGAGCTTTGTTAGGAGATCCTCGAGAACTTTGAAGTACTGTGCAACGGCGGTCTTGATAAGCGGTATCAAAGAACTTTGCAGATTCAGCCAAGGCCTCATTAATCTAGTTAATTTGCTGTCGATATTGAGAATTTACTGTCAGAGAGCCTCTGGAGAGCAGCATGAGATATGCGGATGCAATGATTGAATTTTGCTTAATAATCAAGGCGAATTTCTTGATTAACTCTTTGCACCCCTGCAATCGACGGTCCTGCCTAGCTTCAAGAGGCCGCAATTTTGCCTAATAAAAGCAAAGGCGTGCTTTTTTGAGCAAGCGTGTCGAGAGGTGGAGTTCAGCTAGGTGGGAACGAAGCACTAATATTAAAGCACAACCCTTGGCTTGATTTGTAGTACTCTAGCCGCGCGTGGTATCGCCTGTTTCTGGAGAGTATCCGAGCGGCTGAAAAGAGGGGTTGAGTAGAAGAGTCCCTTGCGCGGGGATAGTGGTGACGGAAGGGACTGCATGATTTGACGAGTAGAACGGGACCCAATATAAGTCAAGATAGCCGCCTGTGAGCATCAAGAAGAGAGATAAACTCCTGACGACGTAGGAACGTTTGGCTCAAACCCAGCTTTCTAGTGTGCAATGCGGGTCACAATTAAGGTAGATTAGCTCATGAGTTATTGACAGTCGCCGAGATTCCATTGCTTTAGCGTCTGGACGTCCGTACATGACTTTGTTAGGATCTCGGGCTCGAGAGCATTTATTATAAGCAGCGATGCGCCATCCGGCGCACAATTCTAAGCCAGGCATAGCCCCTGGAATTAGAGGAACATTTGTACTCTCTTGCATCGATAAAGACGTTTTGACTTTACTAGCTTATGAGTTTCAGGAACTGATTATAAATCCTGGACCTAGTATAACCTGCTTGAATAAAATTGATCAAGGTAAGGCCCATGATATATATTGCTCGGGGCCGACCAATGTCACGCAGCGATATTTGAGTCTTCACGTACGCATTGGCCCCTCAAAGTTGACTATCTTACGGCTAATGTACTGTTCCGTCTATCAAATTCAGAAAAGTGAAACCCTGAGTTACTCGTCACAGCCTTGTCGTGTGTAAACGGCACGCTAAAAAGCGTGCTTCAATGTGGATGTAGATATTCCTTGAAGCTCTAACTTCAAAGAGATTTCTCTCCAAAAGATTATCTTATCTTCCAAACATAAAACGCCACAAGATACAATCTATAGACCAGACCAAAGACCTCGTCGGCTGATATGTTTTGAAGTGCATGCCCACCTCAAATACACCCTCGATAACATGAGCCTTCGCATAACCCAACCACAAGCAGCTACGGTTAGCTATCCTCATAAGCCTTCGACTCCTTCCAAGATCTCGTCGACATAGTCTGCGGCCTCCATGTTCAACATCAGCGCCCTTATTTCCATCTGATTCAGCGGCTTTATCGATGCCCTAGTCATACAATCTGGTCCTTGTCCGGTTACACCGTAAATCCAGCGGTCACTAATCCTCCATACCTCCGGAAGGCCGAACGATTGGGTTCTACCGAGATTGCTCCGCAAAGAACCTCCACTATACCAGATCAGATCGCCGTTCTCGTCCACGTGAGCAGGCGCGAGATTGCGGTCACCATAGGCAGCACAGGGACTCCCCCAACCTATCACAACTCCAGGATCTTTCTCGTACCCATAGCCTGACCCAGTCAGTTCCAAGCCCTGCCACCAAGACCCTTTGTTCTGATAAGATATCCCGAAAGTGACCTCGCTACGGACTTGGTATGTGTTCTGCCAACATATGTGCAAAAGCCCCATCAGGACCTCTGGCCGGCCCTTGTCGACAACGACGACCCCAGAGTCGAGCTCCTCGGCGTAGCTAGGTGTCTGCGCCCGAGACATGCGGATGTTTGGTAGTTGTCGTCCACCGCCGTCTCTGGGCAGATCGTGTCTTACTGCGGCCGTCTTTCGTTCATTGTGTCGATCATAGAAAAGAAAAGCGCCGTGGCTGCGAAAGGCCTGGTGTTCGAGAAGGCTATCAGGCTTCTGTAGCAAGATTGAATCCACATCGAGCAAGATTACCTGTTCGAAACGGGAAGCCAGGGCCGCGTACGGTTTGATCGCCCATTGGCCTTTTCCGAGTCGTAGGTGAAAGTCGTCAAAGTACGATAGAACATTCAGGAATGAGACATTTGCCATGGGAGCAAGGTGGGAGAGTACGTCTCGGTGTCTCTGAGAAAAATCATCTTCCCCAGCGTACGCGATTTGGATCGGAAGTTCGCTACGGAGCACCATTCTCAGGGATCGAATCAAGTGCCCTGCGAAGCGGATAGATTCGTGGCCCCCTCGGACAGGAATCACTATACCTTTCGATCTAGTGAAGGATGACCGGAGGTTTTGAAAGGGCGTTCCGCTTCTGGCTGGCAGAAAAGGCACGAGATTCACAGTAACTGACTCGATTGCCGATGTGAGATCGTGCCGGGCCGGCGCTTTCTCGTTAAGGCTGTCAAGGCTATACAGCCACTTTGTAGCTGATCTCAGTCGCTTACCAGCCTCCCAGAACTGCGAGTTGTAAGGAGGTTGTAGGGGATATGTTCTATACTCTGATGATAGTCGGTTGATGCCCTCGATGTCCAGACCAGGCAAGGTAAAGGGACGGCTGTCGCACGCGAGGTAGTTGAGGAGACTTCGCCTCTTTGATAATAAGTAAAAACAAAAACAAATACTAGCAATAACTAGATATCTTGCCAGCAGTACGTGATGCATCGTAGTTCAACCAGGAAACGCCAGATACTGATAGTGGCTGGTAAATGTCGGCACGTGACTCAAGTATATCGATTATTGAACCTCAACCACGAGACTATGTTGGCACAAATAAACCTTAGAACCGCGTGATTTCCTCCCGAAAATATTCTTCTCTGTTATCCGGAAGAAGCTGTGTGAGCTGATTAGGTAGAGATACAGTCACCCTCCAAAGACGTCGTGAAAAGGCCGGGCGCGCAGCCGCACGGTAGTCCGCCACAAAACGCTACCAGAAACGCCCTATGTAGGAACCCAAGCCAGTGACTCATGGAGATTCACCTTGCACGCGTCTAGTACCTAGGACCCAGGAATGGCTGCGCTACTGCAGGATAGGCAATACTTATCAATGCGCCGAACAAGACCGTTCTCTGTATGATTTGAGACCACGAAACCGAATACTCGCTTCGGCCAGGCTATACATGAAAATATACGCTCTCATCGTCTTACCCAGACGCTGTCCATAAACCACCGCACACTGTCCCAAGCTGGCCATGCAGGCGCAAGTGAGTATCGCGACCCCATGTGGGAGTCGGAAAGTTCTCCACAGCGGGTAACAATCCATAGTCGGTCCCTGCAAAGGACTCTGGTGCACAGGCTCTCTTGATGGCGGCAAACCAGACATTATGTAAACCTGAATACAGTTGTGAGCAAATGTACCTTCCTGTTCGCGCACCTTGTCTTTTAGTGGAGCTAGGGTATGTATCTGTGTACATGGTTCTACATCAATAAGTCATAACAAGCTGCGCTTCGGCTGCTACAACAGCCGGTTTTGGATGAATGCGTGTACTGCTAGGTCACTCAAAGTGGGCTCCAGCCGGCCAACGCGGTGCTATGTCACAATATTTTTCACACTATGAAACACTTTTAGTGACTAGTAAGGTGTAGGGCTTTGTAAGGTACTTTGTCGTTCAAAAGGTGTACACCGTCAACATCTCACAAAAACGCACTATATAGAGTCATCTTGAACTTTCGTGTTATTCGATTCGATAGGAAGCTTTGAATGCTGACGACTGTACTTCACGACTTGCTACGCCTAGTTGCTTTCAATTTCTGAAATTCCACGCGGGACGAACTCAATTTACTACTCAGGTTCCTCGACACTCGTCGAAATCTTGTCAACCCACTCGGTATCCGTACCCAGACAACTTTCGGAGGCCTAGTGGGGCTTATCATGTCTTACTCAGAGTCTATTGTGGGCGAAAGACTCTAGTCCACCGATATCGAGAATGGCACCCTATCGGAACGTGTTGCTCTTGAGCATGCAAGAGCCCGATCTATTTGTCGCGCGAGCGGTATGACTTCCGCCGCATACTCTGGACAACGCAGCTAACATAGTACTAGGTCTCACTTTAGAGGATATCCGAGACCTGACTGACAAATTTTGGGATTTCCATTTCGATCGTGAGTTCCTGAATTCCTGCCGGATTGTTTCCTCCAAGGCTGAGTACCTGGGCGACTAGCAATTGCCGCGAGGGATATGACGGCTTTTATTATTGCAACCATCCACCTGAACCTGTGCATAGGCACATTGAGCCACTTCGTTTCGAGCAAACCATATTTCAGAAATATCGTTACTCGACTGCTACGATTCGAGGCTTGTGGAGAGTTTATGCTGACTGAGATCGGCCACGGCCTGGATGCGCGCAACTTGGAAACCACCGCCACGATGCGACAGGACGGTTCCTTCACGCTTCATAGTCCTTCTTCCTCTTCAGCCAAGGCGATGCCGCCGACGACGCCTCTTTGCACAATGCCGCGAATCGCCGTTGTCTTCGCTCGGCTCCTGGTCTATGGAGAGGACCGTGGCGTCAAGACCTTCCTGGTTCAGCTGACTGACGGGGACAGCATGTGCCCAGGTATCACGTCTCGGCCCCTTCCGACCAGACCTGGCACCCGCCCTTTGGACCACTCCATCACCACCTTCGAAAACGTCTGGTTGCCCGCAGACTCGCTACTCTCTGACCCAGCCAAGGCAGTCGACGAGCGAAGCTCGTTCCTCCAGCAGATACGTCGGGTATCCGTCGGAACTCTGTCTCTGTCCATCATGGGAGTATCGGCTCTTAAAGCGGGCGCCTACATTGTCACTACATACAGCCAACGCCGGTACGTGTGTGAAGGGCCGTCACGCTCTCCTATTCTAGCCTTCAGTACACAACACCGACCTATATTGCGAGCTTGGACGTATTCAATCATCCTTGAGCTCTACGCGCGCTGGACCGTGTCGAACTTTATGTCGCTCGCCGGGGAGGCGAGCACGAGACATGCTATGGCTGTAATTTTCAAGGTGGCAGCCATGAAGGCTCCAGTTATGCTCGACGATCTCTCGGAGCGATGCGGCTGGCAGGGACTTTTTAAGCATAACCAACTCAAGGAACTCTCCTTGACATTTCAGGGCAACACCGTAGCAGAGGGTGACTGCTTGGTCTTGTGCATACGTGAGTTTTTCTGCAAGAATACGATTGATACTAACATGTCGAAAGGTCTTGTGTCCGAGCTGCTTGGCCGCAAGTACGATATTCCAGAGGCGCAAGACACCAGCAGTCCGCTCTCCGTTAGAGAAGCTTCCCTTCGCGCATACGCGGCACGCGAGGTCACAAGAGTTGGCGGGTATACGGCGCATCGAGACCGAGCGTTCGACCAGGTCATCAACCCCTTGAGCAGACCGCTAGTCGAGGCGATTGGCGAACGGATGGCAGTCGAAGCCGGGAAATACCTAGGGGCCGATCCTCACGTGCTTCAACTGTTCGAGTATTTTTGCATGGAGCGGAATATTGATTGGCATGTTGGCAACGACATAACGGCTCGTTCCGCGTTCGGGGACGCCATGTCGCAGGCGTGCAGCGCGGCGCTACCTCTGATGCTGCGGTCGCATCAGGAGAGCAGGATCAAGGATTACGTGTATGCCCCCATCGTTTCGGAAGCAGGCTGGGGCAGATTTTTCTCCGGTCTCCCTGTTTTTGAAGGGCCCGAAGAGCCTGTATCCACTCATCGTTCCAGGTTGTAGTCTAAGTAGCTGTAACGCTGGTCTTGTCTCACAAGACGAGACCAGAGCTGTTCGAAAAGTCTGATAGAAGATAGCTATGGCAGTTGTGTTCAAAATTTGAGTACTATCTTGTGAGCATGAATAGATATAGGGTTATATTTCTATACTTCACTTGACTAATGCAGATGTTGTCGTAACGACACGTCGTGAAGATTGGTAGTGTATACGGTCATGAGCCTATGCCGCCTCCTATCCATAGCATCTTATCTTCTCATGGGGTTTGAGTCGAGAGAAATTTGCGATGATATACTTTGATAAGTCATATACCAAGCGGCCGTTAGTACCATGAAGGCCAATCCTAGAAAGAGGTTCTATCCGCAACTACCCGCTGGTGGCGGTATCGCGGGAACGCGCGCAGTGCACTATAGTGGTCGCCCAGAATTTAGGACACTCATCGATACCTAGGAGTAGCATTCGCCTATAGATTGACAGGATATGAAGTGCTTTTGTACAATGCTTATACATAGGCAGCTGCGCGTTCTTATACCTGAAGCATATTCCAATATAATATGTCTTTACTTCGGGATTATTATATTCAGAAAATACATTTCGACCCTCTCTTCCAGCTGTTTTCATATAGAAACTCCGAGCATAGGGAGACAAAGTACGTAACGATAGAATGGTTTGTATGTAATGGACGAATATATTGATGAGGCTATCCCCCTCTTCACATATGAATATAAAAATGGTCTACGATAGTTACGACCCAACATGCGGCTCGCACGCTCCAATTATTCCACCAATGGTATGGTGATCAATTGCGTCTGGTTACCTTAATCACTCCTTCACAACCTTGATCACGAAGAAGTTCTTTTTAACTAGCCCTATGCCAAGTATTTCGGTCCGTTCTTGACGCGAATGGTGAAGCGTGGCTTTCTATATACTAAGGTAATCACTAGTCTAGTCGAACCTAGGTTTGGCCGCCGCCTATAGTCTGATATTAAAGCTATCGAACCTGCCTGCCGTCACCTTATACGCACAAGGGTCGCCCGCTTCAAGGGCTGAAACTATCAGCAAATGTGAAGAAGCTTGGGAGAAACTGCCGCATGAGCGTATTCAAGCCTGTATTGAGCGGCTTTCTCACCATGTAGCCAAATAATCAGGTTCAACCGTGGAATTTAATTCTAAGAGGGGCCAGAATATTAGGGACTATATCTTACTATGCAACACCAAATCTTACTTCTTTAGTCCTATGCGGCTTCATTACTGTAGTCCTAATTAGCGTCAGCAACGACTTTTTGGCACCGGTCTCCATACCCACTCATTCTGTACCGTCCGTGCTCAAATAGATGGTAAGGAGACGCCGCTTGGCTACACCTGGACTTCACTACAGTATAGAGGCGGACGGACTTCCCTATTTCCCCTGGCTCACGCGACTTGGCAATAACCTAATGAAGCCACTCGAGATACTTAACGCTGCACAAATGTCCTGTTTTCGGTTGCACAGCGTTTCCGAACGCTAGGCAGAAGGTTGATGAGGCGGGCGCGGTACACAGACACTGGCTTGGCATACGACCGCGCTCAAGGACAACTGAAACAAAGTCCATTGCTTTCATCCATTTGCCTTGAGCATCATGGATCAAGCAGTCGCTCGCTGATATATGCTACTGTCTAATCATACCGGTACGATAACGACGCCTTGGCTGCATCAATTGCCTTCAACGCCTCTTGGACCTCCCTGACCAGCGCCTTGCGGCGTGTCTTCACCTCGTCAATGCCATCTGTCTGCACTTCATCGAGCCTTAGTATAATTTGCTGCAGCATGGACTCGGAGATCTTGCGATGCTCATCCTCGCGCTTCTCCGCGTCTTTGCGTATCGAGGCCGTGAACTGCACGCATAGTGGCAGCCACTTGGTCGTGAACTCGGCGGCGAGCTCGTCGAGCTTTTTTAAGGAGCTGGCGCCTGGTCTATCAGCAGGAGTGTAGTCAGGCGGGTCGAACATGGAACGGCTGTCATGGTGCCTGTCGGCCGAGTCTTTGCCGGCCCTGTGGGCTGCCTCCTCCTTGATTTTCTTACCCTTACGGCCCCTAGTCTTCTTCCCGCTGTCAGGCTCCCTAACTACGACTGTTTCTCCATCCGATGCACTGCCCTCGAATCTCCGAGGCACGACCGCAGTGATCTCACTCTTGTTCTTTACGCCGTATTCCCGGACAGGCGTGGAAGCGTGCTCAAGCCCACAGCCTTTGTAGGTCAGCTTGACACGCTCTAGCGTTCGCTCGTCAAGATTCATCACAAGTCCGACTCGGTTTTTTACATCCCTGACCTGTAGCCTACCATCCCCAATCGTATATGCGGGGAAATGAATTGGATACGTGATACCCCTGTTCTTGAGGAGTAGTATATCGTCTTCTGGATTTGGCAACGTATGTATATTTACTTGGTGTCGGCGACGGTCATGAATTGGCTCGTCTAGTTCCCGCGATGTGATGTAGCTATAGTCGTCTTTGGTAATGGTGGGAGGCCCGCTCGTCAGAGCGCTGTACGGAGACGGGTTCCGTCGAGTGTACGCGTACTTTGACATGGTTGCCAGCGCGTATGAATTAACTTGGCTTCTAAAGTGAGGTTTTCAAAGGATCGACCACTTTACAACCGCGTTACGGATACCAGACCGGGACTCTTAGTTACTTTGCAGGAAGATAGCGATATCAGCGGCTAATTATTGGTGCTATCACCATAATATAAGTCAACCGAGGAGGTTGCTATAGCACGTGGGCTAGCAGCTTTACTTCACCAATTCCCGTAGATCATTACTCGAGGACTTTTCTACTTTTGGAGGGAGTTGATGAACATCTACAATCTAATATAGAATAAGAATATAAATTCGCTAGAGTAGGAAGTACTTTAAGAAGCGTTTCTGATTCTATTTACTTCGTGCTGCCTGCCTTTGAGATAGGACAGATGGAAGGTAAAGGGTAAGCTTAGAGTCCACTACACGGAACTTCAGCCAAATTACGGCGGAAGACATCCTATAGCGCGTCTGATAGTTGCTCATTCAGTCCCAAGAGGGATCAGGATTCCAAGTACGCTTTGCCGAGCGCCTCGTCTCTCCAAAACAGACCGTTCTACAGCCGGCCAACGTGGCGCTGCGCTGAAGCATCATGCCCGCTTCGTGAAATACTGCGGTTGTTTGACAAGATTGCGCGTTGATCCAATTTAAGACAATCCCACACGCAACCTAACAGCAATTGGACCTCGTACCATGCTTGAAGCCCGTTCTTGGCATCCCCCCTGGTGTTGGTTGGACGCTGTTGTTTCTCTAAAAAATGGTCGATTCTCTGTGGGCAGGTCGTGCACCACGTTAAGAGCTCCAATCGTCCCGCATGGAAGCTCACATTCGTCCGCATACCTAACACACAGACGACCTGATCCCGGCACATCCCGACTGCAACACCAGAATCTATATCGCTGAACGGGACGAAACAGGAGACGCCATCATGATGTGCAAGTGGCGACATAGATATCCCGCAGACCATGTGAGACCTAGGATGCGGATGTGGTCGTGGAGAGGCATCATCTCAGTCTTCCTTTTGACAAGCTTGATCAGCGGTAAGCTATCATCCTCTTCAAGATACGTCTGTACTCACTCACCAGGATATGATGTTAGTAACGTTGCCAATATCCAACCGCGCCTGTATGAAGAGTTTGGCAGGATCGAGCTTCTGCCTTGGATAGGTCTCTCCTATTCTCTCGCCAACCTCGCGGTGCTCCCCTACTCTAGAAGAATGATTTCTTGTTTCGACTGGCGGACTCTATACATCAGTCACTTGATCATATTCATCCTCGGAGCAGTGGTTGCGGCTTCCGCACCTAGCCTCAGTGCGGTCATTGCCGGGCGCGTTATCATGGGTCTGGGGGGCTCGGTGATTCAGCAGACGTAAGTGTCTCGACCTCCTCCTCCCTCGGTCCTAATATCATGCCAGAAACTTGTCGTACATCTCACTTTATACGAAGCCGTCGGAATCGGCTTCTCTAGTCGCATGCATATCGGCTATGTGGGCTATCGGACTAGTCGTCGGCGGGCCGATCGGAAGTGCTTTTGCTGAGTCACAAGCGACTACCTGGCGGTGGGCCTTCTACGTGAACGTCCCATTTATCGGCGTTTGCGTCGTCATATCATTGCTATGCATCCCGCATCACTCGACTATGGGCCGGGGAACTTCAATCGCCGAAAGGATGATGAGGCTTGACCTCGCAGGCATATGTCTCAGTGCCCTGGCTACCGTCACCTTCGCCATCGCGTGCACTTTCTGCGGGTCGATATGGAATTGGTTCTCTCTCCAATCAATTCTGACCTGGGTCAGTTGCGGCATCGCGTTTCTACTATGCTTCCTCCAGCAATACTTTTGCGTGTGCACCACGGCTAACGATCGTGCCCTTCCCCTGCACTTACTGTCGCCGAAATTCATGAAATTCTTTCCATTGTGGGTGGCCACTGGTTGCGCCGGCATCACGTATGCGATATCATTATATTACGTCCCCCTATACTTCGCCTTCGCTCGTGGTCACGACGCCCTGCAGCAGACTGTTCGACTGCTCCCCCTCGTCCTTGTTTTTATTGCTACAGTCATTCTCACGGGTGCATTCTTGCCTCTACTCAACCGCTACGAGATATTATTCATCATGTCAGGCTGTATCACCACCGCCGGCGCCGCAGCCATGACCGTGGTACTTGCCAGACCCACGGCCACAGACAGTCAGATAATGGGTCTAGAAGCATTGCTTGGGGTGGCACTTGGGTTAGGATTCCAACATAGTTTGGCTATTTCAAACATCCTTATCCACGATGCACGGGATAAGATTGACAGCGCAATGCTCTGCAATCTGATGCAGATGGGTGGGATTGCCTTGATGCTCTCCGTGGCGGGCTGTATCTTCCAAAACGTAGGGCTTGGTCTTCTGCAAGACTCCATCAACTTCGATAGGAGGTTCACAGACCATCAGGTTCAAGAAGCTTTGGCTGGGGTCTCTTCCGCGCTCTGGAACGAATCTGATCCTCGACTAATGGCCAGGGGCGTTCAGGCGGTGGCGGAAACCATTGCTCGGGAGTTCTATATTGTCCTCGCGGGGGGGATCATCTGTCTATCCTGTGGGACGTGGATGAGTTTAGAGCGGCTGGGCGCTCTCAAGCGTTCGTGACCGTGCGAAAGCCGCATACAAACTCAGTCACCTGTACTCCGCCACACACTGAGGTGTGCTCACGCGGAAGACCCCGACTCTTTTGGCAGCAGCAGGCGTCCCGCTGCTTTTGTGACGCCTCAAGCGCGACAGCGGCAGGCTACCCCACACTCGTGGCATGGTCAAGACTCGTCTTGCTTGCCAAAGCTGATGTATCGCTGAAGCGGCTGAGTAATTTAATTTAAGTATTTAGATAAATTGTGTCATAGTACGGTTCAACCCGCCCGGCAAAATACCTGATTCTGCGTAAGATGCAGCAAGATATTACTGGATTCATATTGTCGTTGAATGACCGTGGCTGGGAAGAAGGAAAGAGACTGGGTAGCTGCGCAGGAGATGTTTAGCGGGAAATGCAGCGTCAGACGAGCCCCGCGTCCGCCGCGCTGCGCTTGGTTATCATAGCGAGGTTCATTCAGACATCACCCAGAATTAATAGCAATTGCCACAGTTGCAGAGAGGAGCTATAGGTCTCTGAAGGGCGAGAGCCAGCCAGCCAAGTCACGGGACTGCGAGCTCTGCGTTTCTAATCAATTCTTATGCGTTATGGCCAGAACGTACCAACAATGAATCGTGCAAAGGCTTGCAAACGCTGTAAGAGCGGTAGCGCGATTTCCAGCCTGACGCCCTGAAGGACCTAGGAACATGTGGACTCGCGTCAGCCACTGGTAAGCAGAACACGCCATTGTCTGGCACGACGATAACATCACTCGTGTCTTAACGATGGCATTCGATGTTTTACTAATTTACACGCCTCCATCACTCCTAGTGGTCTCATTGGCACCTCTCCTCATGTTCGCATAGTCTCTACCCGCAGACGAAGAACATGATACGACCTATTACAACCAGCGATCCGAACTCGACGTGTCCCCTCACGCCTGTCCACCTCGATATCTTACCTGGAGTCTCTACATCAGCACAACCGCGGGTTACAAACGACGACGAGCAGACCTTTGAACACCTCGCGCATGACATCGAATTCGAGCTAGAGTGTTGACGCGATGGCACTAGCTAATGATAGATAACGTGGTTAATCCTTACAAATGACGCGCTGGCACACCGACGAACAGGATCGCGTCGCACACGCGATCGGACGACATCATCTATTCGGCTTCATGTGGGCGGACCGACAGCCTTGTATCAGGGAAGCCGCGATAGCATTGGGAGTCATCGGGAGGTAAAAGCCCTTGGCAAATGAGGTCATTACAATCCGGCACGGTGATTGACTCACTCACAGCGGCTCCCTCAGAGACTCATGACTTGGGCCAATCACGTCGTCAGAGTGCAAACAACAATTGTAACCTGGCGCGGTGATTGGCTCACGGCCACAAGTAGCGAAGCCCCCAAAAATGCTATGGCACCCACCATTATGAACATCACGTATAGCTATTGTCAAGGGCTGACCCCATCCTTGGTCAATAGCAGGGGTGCTCTATTAGGGCTTTGCAAAGCTAGGGCGAATCAAGAAAGGAGAGTTATAGCTCCCAGCTACGAATACGGATACGGAGTACGTAGTTGCGGGGGGAAAAGGGGCCCAATCCGGGCCGTACTGATCCGTGTTCGACATTGCATCACTCTGCGGGCAGGAAGCAGCTCATATCAAAACATCCCCGGGCGAGGGTAAAGCACCACGCAATGAGTCCAGGTCGTGGAAACTGCACCATGCCTTAGTGGAAGCCCCGCGGCCATATGCGCCTCTCGCTTGTGTCTCACTTTCCCCCCCGACCGTTGTCCGATCACCCCGGGACAGTCGCAACCACTCGCGACGACAGTGATCAAGTTACCTGATCACCACCGCCAAGACCTATCACTACAGCCACCAAAGTATCTAAGACGCAACGCTTCACCATAGTCAGTCGCCACTAAATTATGAATAGACTGTCAGCGCACATGTCGGTTCTACTGTAATCGACTGTGCCCCATTAGTTCCTCGGCTTATTTGATACACTGGTGTTCTTCAACATAATCAATTAATTGAACGACCTTTGCTTCCTACCCTGTTGCAGGATAGAATCCGAACGTCACGCCTCCTGGATTCGCAAGATTTCCCGAATGAATATCTATTCGGCAAACGCAAAAAAAGCTTTTTTTATATGATAGTATCACTCGTGATTTGTCGCTTAGCCAGCGAAGGTCCACTTCTATACAGCAAAGGCACATCGGATAAGAACGCCAAGCCTATGCTGAAGGCAACATACCCAGCACTTATCCTAGTCTAGTTTAGCGACGTCACGCTCGCTTCCGCTTCCGTCAGCAATAATCATTTCATTCAACTTCATGATCAATTATCTCGTAATCGAGAACACGCTGTTGCACCCGCTGGGTTTGGCGCCCCTCCCGATCGGGTAAGGCGCCCTCGCCGCCGTGACGCCGCCACCCCTGCCACCCCGTCGGCCGTCCAGCAGTGGTATAAAAGGCCGACATCCATCCTCCCCCATCGGATTGTACCTTCGACTTTCGAACACCTCCTCGTCCACGTTTCTTTCTCACCGCGCCGTTTCAGCTCTCTCGACTGCGCTCGCTCGTCCCTGTTCTCGCCCCACACCTTTGTCCACTTCGGCCAGCGTTGGCCATGCATTTTACGAGTTCACTTCCAGCGTTCGTCTACGCGCGCCTCGTTGACCCTAGCGTTACTCCCGCACCCTGCTCTAACTCGTTGTCCCTTCTCCAGTATGGTCAGGAACGTCCCCGTCTCCCTCTCTCAGTCATTAACAATCTCAGAAGCGCTTCGTGGATTGCGGGCACGAAATTCGGCCCCTTCTGCGCCAATCGCTCGCCCACTGCCTCCACCTCCATGACGAGAGAAAGTTGTCATCAGCGACCACCTCAACCATGCAGGCTTAGAGCAACATGATGACAGCCGGGCCAATGGATTAAAATGCCGCACACACTTCCTCGCTTCACTCTCTCGTGCCGTCTACCCAACGCCGCATGACGCATTGACGAGTCAATCTCCGGCAGCCCTGTTTGTGCAGCAAGGCCGCAGGATGGAGACATCTTCCAAGATAGACACTTCTTGGGGCTGATTCGCCATGATGCGTCCCTCTGGGCTGTGTCGTCAGCCGAAGGATGGTCGATCCTTCTGATGCTGATCGTTCATGTGGGCAAGGTGGACCGAACCGGCGTCCGCTTTTGCCCCATAGCCGATGGGAGATGGATTTGCTACATGAAATCAGCCTGGGCGCCTATGGTGGATCTCAGACCTCCTTCTCTTGTCGCCGACAAGGAATGCAGGCACATGATTGGAAAAACTTGATGTCATGACACGTAGGCGCAGTCGGTCTGTGTCGAGCTAGCGGAATGCTAGTGCATGGCGTTAACAGCAAGCTGCTGCTTCTGCGGCGTTATGCCTCGTGTAGGAAGCATCCCCGGATCAAGTTACGTTTCGGTGGAGTGAGTACAGCTCGGCAGTTGCATGATTGGCAGCGAGCAAACTGGGCAGAGTGCTGGGGTGAGATCACCAAGATGCCCTGTCACGGATGTGAAGGGAAAAGTCTGGATGCGGTCAAGTGCCTGGCGAAGGCGACGGTCCTCCAGCTTCCGGGTTTTGGGCATTTAAGAAGCTCGCCGTCCGCCAGGTCGATCTCAACTCGTCAATGAATCCTTCAGACTCTTGCAAGCATTCGCATCTTCCTGGAGATTCGACCAAGACACCGCTATCATCATGGCAACCCCTATTTCTCTTGACACTCAGAGTTTTTGGATCCCTCCAACAGAAGCCACCGAGAAGTTCGACATCGCAAAGTCTTCACGGCAGCCGTTACCGCAACAGTCGCGGACACTTGTTACGACAGCCTCGGTGTTGATTTCTTCTGATGAAGACTCCGACAACGATTCACTCCCATCAATTAGGACACTTGCGGCCTCAGTCGCCGCTAAGCAGCGAGCTTATCCAAGAAACGCAGGTCAGCGGAGCCAGCCCAAGGCGATCTCTGGCAAGCACAGGACTAACCAAGTTTACAGACAACCTTGCTCACATGCCTGAGATAGCTCAGCGTGCTAGACGTACCAGTTCACGAGGCTCATCCACTACCAGTCAACTTGGCCAACGAACAAGATTGAGCAGATCAGCATCGCCCACGACTGCGTCATCCAACGGCAATGTGCCAAAACAGCACCGGGATGCCAGTCCTGACAAACCTCGTCGCGGCTCAATCATCAAGGCATTCCCTGGACATGCTGACCTCGGGGTAGCCCCTGGCAACCGGCGTGGGTCCGTTTATGGCCCGGAGGCTGAGGTTTTCGATCATGATGCTAGCTCATTTAGCGACCCCGATCTAGGACGTGTGAAATCTCAGGAGACTTTACATGCGCAAGAGACTACAGCGGGGCCCGGTGATCTGGATTCTGGCCGAAAAAGCTCCCTGCCAGACGATGGACAGAGTTCTCAGTCAGTAGAAGGCTTGACCCGTGACGCAAACAGCAGTATACCTCCTACAGCTGATCCGACGCTGGCTATGGATTCTTCTGTTGTGGATGATAGACCCCCCGCGGATCAAGTCAGCACTACTAGTGCCCGGACATGGAGGCGATTGCACAGCACTCGTACACTTTCGGGGACGCGCGCCGTTCGTCCATTTGGAAAAAGGGCAAGCGTCAGATCGGAAGCGGGCAGCAGTGACGAAGACGAGGCTCCGGCCCGCAAGCGTCAAAAGGCCACACGTTCCGCTCGCCTAGGACGTGGTGCGAAGCCTAAGCCTAGACCTGCGCGAGACCCTCGACTCCGCGCCTCCAAATCGACGTCGAAACAGAGTAGCGATAGGCCAGTCGTCTCCAATTCACAGTCTGAGGATGCTTTCATAGCAAGCTACCAGGAGTGGTCGCTTCCCGATGCGACGCTCAAGTGTGTTCGGGACAATGGCAAGGCGACATTTCAACTTGAGTTCTCTTGGGAAACGCCGTGTGTGGCTCATGCGGCCCAGGATTCATCAAGAAGCAGCGCCCCGTTACTATCGAGGAAAGCTCGAAATCCGAAGACCAACACCGTGGCCCACACCTCTAGGGAGGTTACAGAGGATAGCCCGGAGGAGTCTCATCCTGGCAAGGCTGGTGACGTCGGTATATACTCCGTGAAACGAATGCTTGCTCGATGGAAGAGGGGCTTCTACTTTCTACAATGGTCAGATGACACCACCGGGTGGGAGCCAAAGAGGAACATTCTCGACAAGGAAATGCTTCGCGACTTTGAGAAAACGTACAAGGGATTTGATGAGGGGATTGATGTACTGAATTCACGAACTTGGGCTGGCAAATGCCAATATCTACTGCATTGGCATGGTCGCCCGCCGTCCGAGGATTCGTGGGTGGCTGAGAGCCTCATGAGCCCGGATGCCATCGACAGGTTCAGGGCGGGCGGGTTGGAATAGCCACTTGTCAAATAACAGTTTCGTCTTCAGCTCCACATTCACGCGAATTCCTTTGAGATGCCATCCACCAACCGTTCACTTGTGTTTGGTGTTTAAGTGCGAAATCTTCTATCGTAGAGATCGGTGAATGACACAGAGGGATTGGACTCCGTTGTTCAAAGTACCTTGGGAGGTGCGGTGGGCTTGGGCTGGCCGTTTCTCTTTCTTTCACCCCTAGGTGTATCATGCGTGCAAGGAGAGTGGACCCACGATACTAGCTGTGCGTCCAGATACGTCGTAATCTCTGAGGAGCTCGGAGGCTGTTTTGGGCCCACGCACTAGAATGTTGGCCCGCCGGACGCAGTCACGTGCCCGAGGCCTGGCGAGGCATGCCCACGTAGTGGCCATTACTGGCCTCACTTTGTGCCGTGCCTGACACAATGATCTGGTTGGTTACTCTGTGCCGGATCAGCCAGGCTGAAAATGTCCCACAAGAAAGCATTCTATATCACGCCTGCCACACATTATCGGAATCCAAAGGTGGAGGTGACGAGTTGTGAACGACGTTTGATAGGAAAGAATCGAGAAAGCTGCACGGCGCTGTGGAACATGGCGAATTAGACACGAGAACCAAGCCCCAACCGTTACACCGGAGCTCAAAAGGCCCCGGAAGCGGTACCACAAAAGCCAGTTCTGAATGTGGACTCTACGCACTAGAACGTATTTCTTCCAGTTGAGCGGGAACATGCGACCCAGGATCCTTGATGCACGATTTATCAGAAGATGCTGCCGCCCCTATGGGAAGTGTACCAGCACTTGCTCGTTGGGTCGGCGAGCGCTATGCTGCCCCGGGTAACCATCTCTGATCCAGCAGTTGCAGGTGCTTGAACCATACTGCGCCATGATACGTGCACTCCCTATAGCGAATACATTACTCATCAGTGTTTTTGGATTTTAATGTTTTAGAGGAGCCACTCAATTGAGTTGTAGGAATTGCCCGATCCTCCTGATGGCCTGTTCATCTCCTTCCATCGTGTCTGCCAATTCCTCGCTTACCCAACCTTCGGTCCAACCACCTCCAAAGTCAACCAGCCAAGCGTCGTCGTGTTCGTCGACTATTACATTGCTAGCTTTCCCATCCCCCCAGACAATCCCTTTGCTATGCAAGGCGCGAACAGCCTGCCGGATTTGGCAATGCCATTTTCGTCGTCGCTGAAACGACACTTTGGGAACGTCCATTTCTCTTAGACGCTGGCCAGGAATCCACTGGCGGAGGAAGCCGATGATGCGGTATGTATCTGCGTGCCTGACATATCCCAGCAGGTGAGGGATATGTATAGTGGCGTTGTGTTGTGGTGGTAGACGATCATAAATGTCCTGAAGGCAGCCCATTTCCCTCCCTACACTTGTGCCAATCAACCCTCCAGCACTTCCAAGGGCTTTGCAGAACATCTCTGCGTCCTCAACTAGGACGAGGCTTGCAACTTGACCACTACCTTCGACAAATACCTCTGTACAGAGTATTGCGCGAGAAGAATACCAGGGGAGTGAGAGATCAATACCCAACTCAAGTTCTTCGGCCTCCTGATAATAAGAATCGTCCGCAGAAAGGGTATAGGCCTCGCTCGCTTTGATAGGGGCGATAAAAGCATTTTCAGAGGAGCCGAGAAGTTGAAAATGAGAGGTTGCAGGATAAATGATGCCATGGAGATCTCGCGAGGTTTTGGACTCGATTTGTGGCGTAGTCTGAGCTTTGAACACTGGCCTGCCGGCATTCAAGATGATTTCAAGGATTTCGTCCTCCATATCATCGTATTCGTCATCTTCCACATCGCCAGTCGCGATACGATCCATAAGATGGATCAGGCGGTTTTGTACTGAGTTCTGATTTTGTTGGCCGGCCGAATAGCTTGGAAAGACAGAAACCGCAATTCGCTTGCCGTTGAAGTTGAAAATGATGTCTGCCCCATCCCCATCGCCCCCATGGATCTGATATACGTCGACAATATCAGCCCCTGCCTCCATTTTGAGTGTCTCCTTGAGGTTGCTGAACTGAAGCGCGGTTCCGCTGATCACTCATGAAGGAGCTAGTTGAAGTGAGAGTTGAGTTAGCCGCCTCAAATTGCCAAGTGGTACTGAGCACATCTCTATATAGAGAGGAAAGCCTAGGCGCGCGGTTGCCTGGCCCCACTTTCGGCACCATGTGCTGCGAACCAATCGACGCGGCGTGGCTGGGATGCGTTGACACACCAATTGAATCAGCTAGCGCGTCGTTGCTATTCTAAGAAACCGTATGGATTCATGATCGACACTCCAAGCAGATTGTCGACAACGGGATGTAATGCAATTACTCCTCTAGCATGCTACTGAGCATAATACATATAATCAGCATAATCCGTCAGCTCCAATGGCTGATAACCATCGGAACACTTTTGTATTTCGCTGAACACCCATTGATTCTTCAAAATGTGCCATAATACAGGATAAGTCGAGAAAGCACTGTCCGAGCCGCCCAATCTGGAAGCAATGGCCGCCGTTTTTGGAGGGTTTGACAGTGAGGGGCTATGGGCGGACGCAGGTACCGGGTACCTCCGAGCGCGTCGTGAAGGGGTGGAGCCCTTGTGCCTGGGCCGTCGACCCCGCCGAGAGGGCCAGTGGGGAAGAAGCGGAGTTAAAGAACCGTTCAAACGGGGGGGGGCGGAAAGGATAAACTATTGGTCCGACACGGTTATGGTGCGCCAGAGGATATCGGACTAAAGGGGCAGTAGCTAACTAATCGAGCTTTCCGTCCGATGCACCCGGGGCTAGGTAGAGCTGAAATTGGTCGCACTGGCTTTGTGGGTCCATACGTACTATTATTGCTCTGCGCATGTACGGGAGAGTACCAGGATTACGCTCCACTACTTAGCATGTAAGTTGTATGTGTCAGCGTGGCCCGCCATGTACCGTGGAGTCTGCCTGCCGCCCAAAACATAGAGTATGAAGATGATGAGGAACAGTAGAAGGCAGTGAGAATGAACATTCACTATCTGAAGAAGATGCTGATGCTAAGAAAAGAAGGAAGAACGCGATGCCGCGAAGATGCTGCCCTTTGAAGGCAGCTGTGGGCCGAATGTGGGCGAGCAATAGGTGGGCACCCGGGTGCCCAAATAAGATTGGGCACCCGGGTGCCCAAATAAGATTCCTTATGTAAGCAACAGCCAATCTAGGG